GGGGGGGGGGGGACTGGGCGCAGCTGGAATTGACTGATGCATTATTTGCGGTCGACTCGTCGTCGCTTTTACTGTCTTCAGGTAGACTCACTTTTGCCGCTTTTCTCCTTAGAAAATTCTTGCACTTCGACGTCAGATAAGTCTGCATCAACATTCACGTCACTAAAACTTAAATTACTATTACTATTAAGTTTTAGTGCCTGTAAAAATCACCAACAAATTAAAATTATTATGGGTAGTGCTCCCTCATAAAAGTTGGTTGATATCTTCCTAAACCATACAATCAACACGCAGAATTGGGACTAAGACAACCTTTATTAAGAACAGTTAAAAAATTTTACCAAATACATTAAAATAAAAACACTAACACTCCAAATTTAAAACTTGACAATACAAACTACCATGGACCATTAAACAAAAATACAAGGGCTGTTAAAAACAGCATTAGTTTTTGTTCCGTTATAATTTTACCTATTTTCATATTTTCTTTATTGTAACCGCTTTTTACGTCACAATGATTTTCCGCTAGCCGTCACGTGACCTTACTTTAAATACCGCTACACGTGCGTAGTTTTTTCCAAGGCTCACAGAAATTCGACGGGTAACCATCTACGCCCTTATTACCGTTGAACTCAGAATCTTCCTGAGCGTTCGCTCCAACACGTCCCACAACGGGATCGCTGTTAAAGTTGGCACCTGTGAGTCGCTTAGTTTTCTTAGTTTCGCGGATCTCTCCGACATCGGAGCTGATGCCGCTATAAAAATGATCCGGACGGGTGGGAGGGAACGATTTGCTAAGTTGATCAGACTGCTATGCTCTAAGTACTCGCCTTGAGTGCATACTACAGTTAAGTTCTAGCAGAAGCAGCAATTGTTTGTAGTCTGTCTTTTTCTGAATTATCTGACCGAAAAATAATTAAACTGACGTTTGCCCTTTGCAGAAGATATCCTCGCACTCATAAACTGACACCATCTGCTACTTGAGATGGAATTCACAATTCAGTAACTTTCTTCTTAACAAGTTCTGCATTTCAACAGTTTGGAGATGGGTCAGTGGCCTATCACATGAGCTGTAAACCATCCGGTAATTATAACTCACTTTATCCTGTTTTGTATCATAGTATCGTTCAATGAACTGTACATCGCACACACAACCTTGAGTCGTCTCATAAACGTCCTGAAAAAACTGTTGTTCTGTCATGTGTTCAGTTATCCAGAAGCTTATATCATGAATGTAGGTTGGAGGAAAGAAGCTGAACGGCACAAACTTCCTAAGGTCTGGTAAGCCATTATCCTAAAACATGACCAGATTACACCAATTAGTTAATTATTTTAACTAAAGAGAAAATGGCTAACTCTACATTGTAACACTAGAATCTAACATCACTTCAAGTAAACCTGTCACTTGATTAGCTTTGTCCTACCTGTAAGGTTGAAAACTGCACCTTGAATCTTTTATCCTGGGACCACAGAAGTCTCACATCAGGGATCCCACATAAAGTCATGACTAAGTCATCCAGGTTGATTTCCATCAACCAACACAAATACTTGTCAGCAAACGTTTCAGGACTGAGAACACTGGCATCTATTAAACCACAAGAGAGTATCAATCTTTGTTCATGGTACAACTCTCGTTGTGTTGAAGGTTGAAAGCACTTGCTGGTGCAAAGCGGAGGAGAGATGTCATGTCCAAGATAGTGTTTCTCCAGCCTACAGTAAATGCACTTCTCCTGCAAAGTTTCTTTTCCACATTCACACCTGATGTCTGCACTTGATGCATTCCTGAGATTGTGGAATTTTGTCTGTTTTCCACATTCCAACTCGGTGATCTCTTGATTGAGTAAGTCATCAGCAGTCGAAATACCTTCCTGAGACAAGCCCCTACAGCTGTTTTCAATTCTTAGACCATCAAGNTGGAGGAAAGAAGCTGAACGGCACAAACTTCCTAAGGTCTGGTAAGCCATTATCCTAAAACATGACCAGATTACACCAATTAGTTTATTATTTTAACTGAAGAGAATAATGGCTAACTCTACATTGTAACACTAAAGTCTACCATCACTTCAAGTAAGCGTGTCACTTGGTTAGGTTTGTCCTACCTGTAAGGTTGAAAACTGCACCTTGAATCTTTTATCCTGGGACCACAGAAGTCTCACATCAGGGATCCCACATAAAGTCATAACTAAGTTATCCAGGTTGATTTCCATCAACCAACACAAACACTTGTCAGCAAACGTTTCAGGACTGAGAACACTGGCATCTATTAAACCACAAGAGAGTATCAATCTTTGTTTATGGTACAACTCTCGTTGTGTTGAAGGTTGAAAGCACTTGCTGGTGCAAAGCGGAGGAGAGATGTCATGTCCAAGATAGTGTTTCTCCAGCCTACAGTAAATGCACTTCTCCTGCAAAGTTTCTTTTCCACATTCACACCTGATGTCTGCACTTGATGCATTCCTGAGATTGTGGAATTTTGTCTGTTTTCCACATTCCAACTCGGTGATCTCTTGATTGAGTAAGTCATCAGCAGTCGAAATACCTTCCTGAGACAAGCCCCTACAGCTGTTTTCAATTCTTAGACCATCAAGGCCAGAACACATCTTTGTTATAAACAAGTCAAGAATACTATAAAGTTCTTTTTTAACTTCCAAAGCTGTTGTACCATTCGTAAAAGTCTTCACTGCTATCATTTTGTGACATATGGGATGATTTTCAGAAGATGGAGGAAAGAAAAAATCAATTTCAATTCCACTCATGACAAACAATGCACCAAACTCCTGAAGACTCTGCACAACTTCACTTAAAAGTGACACACCTGTGCGTCTGAATGATTGGTTTAGTTGTCCCTCTGCTTCACCTGAGCCACAAACATTTAACTTCTCAAATTGTTCACTGATATTATCTATACTTTCCGAGCGCTTGAAAACAACATTAGCCTCACCAATTGGAATATCTGAAAAGAAGCTTTTGAGCTTGTTGCTGATGATGTAAAGAGGATTGCCAGGGACAAAACTTAGGCTCTTCGTGGGATAACAGTATGACATAAAACTGCTGCTGTTATTGGTTATGAAAGAACTGTGGGGAGAAAAAAGAGCAAACTGGAAAATAAATAAACACGAAATACCTTAAATAAATGACTGGTAACTTTGTCTATAAAGTTTAAATGCTAATTTAAAAAAAGAACATAAATATTGTAAATTAACGTTTTGCTTATGGAGAGTGCAACTTACTCAATGTCAGGTACAGCTTCCATTGGTACCCCATGCACAAACACATGAGTTAGACCATTGATGGTGTGGAAGCCTTTACCAAGCTGTCCACGGAAGCCTGCACTTTGGTAGGAACCATAATCTGCACTTCTGAAAGGATACACGGCGTTCAGAATCAAATCTATAGTGAACAAAACACAATAAATAACTGTAGAAAAGAACTCTCTTACATGGTACATGTCTACTGAAAATCCTAATAACAATTCCTCTTGGCCTTCTCCTCACAAAAATAAGCCCTTTGAAAAATAAGCCCCACTGCAACTTCTCTGTGTTAAAATGCCCTCTTTTAATGAGCCCATATGTCATGATATCCTCTTACTGTAATCTCTTGCTTTATAATATGTGGGCAAGAGATGATAATAATATTCTCTCTTGTATGTGGGGGACTTGTTCATGTTATGTTGATTCACTTACTTCTGTTATCAACTCATGACCTAACTCGTAATATCCCCCCCCACCCCCCACGTAGTCACGTTTGGATCGTCAGGCAATTTATATGCTATTGCGTGACAATCCAAAAAAAGGATTTGTAGGATTCTGATACAAACTTTAAGCACAATAGCTGTAGAGTCACTGTGTCTAACCTGCCTTAGCAGCTTGATACACAACCTGCCAACTATTTCCAAACTGTCTTTTGGGATTATCCAGGGGTGTTCCACCTTGTCCTTGGCAAAGACTGACACAAATCTCACCCTTTTCAGGACTAACATGTTTTGCCGCGCTTGCAAAGAATCGCTTTAAAAGCTCTCTTGATTTACCAATGTTCGACTTCCCACCAACGTGCGGAAAGTTGAAAATCACGCGATCGAATATTCTCGAACCAAATGTTCGGGAAAGATCCGTTGCATCTACTTCGTGCAGGACCTCGACGTTTTCGAAAGATGATAATTTCTCAATATTTTGTAAAGCGAAGTCACTGTTCGCTAACGCAGGAACTGAATCGAGTGATGTTGCTATGATTTTAACTGATGTTTGTGATAATGCCGAAGCCAGACAAAGAGTAAATGAAAAGTTCCCATCTCCAACAACTAACACATCATTTGAGTATAAATCTGGATCGAGTAAAGCCATAATCAAGGCGCATTACAACTCGCTTTTCCTTTTATCAGATCCTATGCATTGCCGCCATTTTTAAAACGCGCATTCAATCAAATTGGACTGCGGTTTCATTTTATAGACCCAGTTTCGCTTCATTGACTTTCGTTGAACGCCTTGTTGTTTTCGTTGTTTTCTATCTATATGGGCGGATGGGTGAAAAGCATACCTTTTCATGTTTTTAAGAGGCATTTCACATCGATTAGTTTGATAAGGTTTCGTTTGGTCATGGCGACAAGACGAAGCACTTTCGCTGGAGGCGAGAAAGAAGCGGATAGTCGCGTCAGATCTTTAACAGATACCGCCTTTCTGAAGTCGCCTAAAAAAACCTGCAGCTGCCTGGAATTGGTACGAGAAACTATTCCAGCTCTTACAGAGTGTGCTCACAAAGGACAAATGGGTAGAATAGGAGTGATAGGAGGATGTCAGGAGTAAGTATACTTCGAATAAAGAGAGTTCATATGGGTAGAGTCCACCTTGAATTTCATAATATATGCACCTTTTGATTTGCTTCTGGTCTTGTCTTAGAAGCGTTGTTATGTTATATATTGAAAGAAAGGTTAAATTAAATTACCATTGGTGAAGTAAACATTCGCTTATGTTTATTTAACAAGGCATAAGATATTGCACAGCTAGTTTCTTGGTGCAATGTGTATCATTGGGTCATATACATTTAAAAAAAGCCATACCCAATCCTTGGTTAGTGTTGTAAATTTATGCAAAACCTTTAAAACTGAACTGAACTTTATGCTGAACCACAGTCAAACCTGTATAATATGTCAGCCTTGGGGAATGGCTAAATGACCTCTTACAGCACAGGTTGACCTCAAAATACAGTTTTGAGCAGCCTCTAAGAGTAAATAAAGAAAAGGAGAGGGTTACAAAGAAAAGTATCCTGTTTGAATACCGAAAACAAAAATACAACAATGAAAGTGTTTTTTATCTTAAAATAAAAACGAAAATTTGACCAAAAGAAGACATGGGTAGTAACACGTCATCAGTGCGGAATTTATCCAGTCATTGCTTTGATGTCATTTTGCATATGTTGTTTCAACGATGGTTTTGGTTATTAGGTGAAACAGTAACAAGTTAAAGCCAAGCTATTATTACCTAAATAAAAGATTTCTATACATGATAACAAAAAGTGATATTTTTTTGCAGGTACACTGGTGCTCCCTATTTTGCAGCAATATCAGCTTTAAAAGCAGTAAGTTTATTCTATGTAACAATTGCTGAAATGTGAAATTTTTGTAACTTATGAAAAAACCGTGAAAATACTGGTCTATGGGCATCCTAATTTTCAGTACTGTACAGTGTACTAACCATCAACTAACTCTGTTTCTTCATTTTTTGTCTATGAAATTTTTAATTCTCAATTTTTTTTCATATTTTTTTTCAAACAAACACTCATGTAAAAATTAAGTGATTGTAATAATATTGTAATCATTTTTGATTTGCAGGGAGCAGATTTGTCTCATGTCTTCTGTACTAGTGATGCATCCGTGGTGATAAAGTCTTACAGTCCTGAACTCATTGTTCATCCACTCTTGTTAGTACTAAAAAACATAAATGTAATTAGGGATACTTTAAATTTGAAAGCAATGCCAAAGAAATTCCATTTAAAGGGACAGGTTCACGGTTCAGCGCATACTCATTTATCAAATTGCTGTTTTTCTACTAGGACATGTTGTACTGTCTATGCAAGCAATATGATTATGTCATAATGTTGTCAAAGAACTAATCTGCACACTCCCCTGGCAGTCACTTGCACTTGATCAACTTAAATGTTTGCAAATAGCTGTAAATTAATCAACCATGGAATAAAGCCTTCGGGTCAGCGATAAATTTAACGTTGGTAGTGTTGGCATAATCCAGTAATTTTTTCTGCAACTTTAGTACTCTTCCATCCTACTACAGGTTACTCTGAAATACACTTCTACTTTGAAATACACTCTGAGATTGCCGAGATACATGTGAGTGGGATTACCAACCGATAGAATTAATAATAAATTGGAAAAAAGTAATTTGATTAATGAGCATGCACTTAACCGTGAATGTGTCCCTTTAAATGTATCCTGGAAACTTTCATTACTTATTTCAAAAACACCTTTTATGCTTGAAGTGGTCTGTTTTCCCCAGCCATTTTGAAAAAAAAGGGAAAAAAATTGTTGAGTTTCTCAGTTGCTATTGTTTAACTTTATTGTCTTCAACAAATTTCCACTTCTTGTAGTAAGGAGAAAAAATAATGTCTTTTACTTATGTTTCAAGTATAGCAGTGAAAATTTTAAAAAGTAAGTAAAATGCCTGTGGTTGCAGGTTGTGAGAGAAGTCAGAATAAGGACTTTTACATGGACCCCAGACTTTGCAATAACATAATCATTTTAACATGAGTTGTTGTAGGAGCTAAAGTCTGTATGTTCTACATGTAGTTTGTAGGAAAAGGCCTCCTGTTAGCTGCAGCCCTTTACTAACAGCTCACGGTGTTTCCCCAGGGATAAAAAAACAGCTGTGAAAGAGGTAAAAGATTGGCTGTCAAGACTTCATTGTCTTGTCATAGGCCCAGGGATGGGAAGAAATCCTACAATAATTGAGAATGTCAAGGTAACTTCATAATTTCTTGATTCTTACTATTGTTTTGTAATAATTGCAAAATGTGCACTCTGCTCACTTTGTATTTTTCTTTTTGTATCCAGGGTGTTCTTGAACTTGCAAAAGAACAAAACAAACTCCTTGTCGTAGATGCAGTTGAGTAAACTATTTAATGACACAACTTACTGGTAACTTTTAGGTGTGTGTGTGTGTGTGTGTGTATGTTTTATCTTTTGCTTTTGATGATCAATGTTTCTTTGGTAAATTTTCTCTTATATGCATTTATCAGTAGAGAATTAAATATTTTTTCGTTGCTGGGTCTTTACTCCTATAGTACATTTGTAAAATTATTAGCCAGGCAAAAAGACTGTTTAATTTTTTTATAGGATGGGCTCTTTATGGTCACCTCATACCCTGAAATAGTCAAGAACTACACCAAGGCAATACTAACACCAAATGCAATGGAGTTTTCAAGATTATACAACACAATGGTACTGAAATTATAGACTGCAAATGTAATTAATTTGTTCTGAAATATTTTGGCTGAATCATTAATCGAATCAGACAGAGAAAGTATTATTGAAGTAACTGCCTCTTACAACCTGTATCCCTGAAAAAGCTGGATACATGGTAACACTGTCCTTCCTTTTAGAGGCTCTTCTATCTTCAGTGGCTTTAAGGACAACAAACAGACATATTATGTGCTTCATATCCTCTTCTAAGTGTATATCGAGGTGGATATGTGGATATGCAGTGATTATTATTTACCAGGGTAAAGGTTTTTAATCTACCATGGGGACAGAGCACATAAGGAAATATTGTTAACTTTTACTCCGATTGCTTGGGATGTCAGTTGTCGCGTCATAACTAGTGTATAATATAGCTGTTTGTACCAATTTCTAGTTTGGCCGGGAACCTGATCCTTCAATAGACTCTTCAAGTCATGTGACCCAGTTATGCCGAGAGTTCGGAGGGGTCACGATATGTCGAAAAGGACAAGAAGACATTCTTGCAGATGGAAAGGATGGTAAGAAATTTGGCTTCAATGTTCGTATAGAAACTTGTAAGCATTCTGTTTTTGTTTCTTAGAGTGGCATGTAGAGCCCCCAGACCCTCCCACTGGCTTTTAGTAGGGTAACTGAAAGAGCAGTGAATCCTGTAAAAATCTGTCTAAAGTCAGTGGAGTCAATGTCATGATTTCTGGAGAGATAATCACAGTTTTTTTGTTCCAACCGTTTGTACCATTGTATAGTAGTTCATTGTACAACTGAAGGAAGCAACAGAAGGTGTGGAGGACAAGGTGATCTTTTGTCTGGATCCATGGGAGTATTCTTTCATTGGGCTGATACAACATTCAAGAAAAAGACCAAGGAAGAAAGGTATTTATATAATAAATAATAATAAATGTCTTTATTGCTCGTTAGATAAAAATACATAGCTTATGTTACAGGATAAAAAGATTAAAAGTTCAGCTAAATTACAATAGAATAAAAAGATTAACAAATGTGAAAACTAGATACATATATCTGACAAAAAAATATCATAAAAGGTTGTATTTAAAAATTAATCTATGTGTTCTCATAACGTTCAGTATTTATCTTGGGCCTCTGGCAACTTTTACGTCTAAGGTTGTAGGTTAAATTGTTCTTTTCTTGCGGTAAGCAAACCTTCAGAGGGATCACGCTGTTTAACTTTTTTTAAAAATCGCTTCATGATCTTGTTTTTGTAGTGATGATCTATTATTTAACTGCGTAGATATAAAGCGCAACTTATAGTGTCTGTCTAAAAATTGCTGAAGGACATTAATTTCCGCAACGGAGGCACCATAAACAGATAGTCCGTAGGTTATGTTAGGAAGAACAATACTATAGACGAGAGAATCAATTTCTGTTTGGCAGTAACGGTCTTTTCTACATACTCTCAGCACGTGTCCGCATTTGTTGGCCCTGCACAGTTTAGCTTTTATGTGTGCAAAAAAATTACAGTCATTCCTGAAAGGTCAAACCTAATAAATCAAGAGTGGCATGTCCCGCGCGGGATCCTTTCATTTTCAGTTAAGAGGCTTATAATGACTGTTACAAGGCAGTAAACGTCTTCACAGTCAGCCATTAGAGTCTTGGTTTACAACAGAAATAATAGAAATATCGTTTTAGCATATTACTCACGGTTCTCTGCAGTTTGCTTTTCTGGTCACGTGCATCTACGGTGGTAAAATGTGCCGCAGGTCACCTGCACCAGTGTTGTGGGAAATTTTTTATCACGGGCTGCTGGTACTACTTACTCCTTTTACTTGTAAATACTAAAACAAGTGGTTTACGAGATTTAAAAAGGAAATTGCAAACCTGGTAATAAGCCTTGTCATAGAAACTATTGCATTTACAGTCAGAAATGTCATCCATCTCTTCGCGCCACCCACCCCCCACCCCAACGGACGGAAAGGGGGGTGGGGCGAAGGGACGGATTGCATTTCAGACTATTGTATATAACGTTGTATTTTTTGATCGCTGTCGGAAATTTTGACGCCAATCAGTAACTATTTATTGAACCCTCCTTAACCAAGATTTTGTTTCCATTTAATTTATTTATTTTACTGCACTTATTGAACTTTAACCTTTAAAAGCGAACACATTACATTTTCTTTTGCACTTACAGAGCATGCGTATATGGTCGAACATTGGTAGCTGCCTATGGCGCCTGCGCTTTAACACGAACCTGCAACAGACTGGCGTTTGCAAAGTACAAGCGGAATATGACTACTACAGATATGGTCGCAGAGATTCACGACGCATTTCAATTGTTATTTCCTGAAAAAAAGTCAGATGAGAACGTAACAAGACAGGAACACACTGTATGAAGTAATTCAGCGGACTTTGTCATGGAATTTTATTGATTAGGCATATTTTCGATATTACAAGATCTAAATGTTTAATACATGCAGAGATTATTATTTTCGGGCGTTAGGATCATATGTTTTCATGCTTTTTGGGCGAAACTTAAAAAAATCAGTCGAACGTTTTTCGTCTTTCCTCCATGCTGTTTTAACCTTCTACAATTTCCCTTATTGGCTTTTTATACTGTGTAAACTTCTTTTCTTTTCTGTAGTTTTCAGTAAGATAAAACAGTCGGTGAGTACGCAAATTGTCTTAAATTTCGTGACATACTCCTTTTTTCTCACAGAAAACCTTAGTTACTTTAGAAATGTGGGTTACTAGTTGACCAGGATTCAAGAGACATGAATTCTTGTCATTTGCATATTTCTTCAAACTCTCTTCAGCGTGGCTAAACCCTCTCACACTTCAAAGTCTCTCCTGGAGAAATGTAATGCTGTTGTTATGTTTACCATTTAACCCTTTAAGCCCCAATATCCACATATAAATTCTCCAAACTGATCTCTATACATTTCCATAAAGAATGTGTTGAGCAAATTTGATAAAAGATCAAGGCATTTTCTCATTGTTGATCATTTTATTAATTCTCATAACCTAATCTCTTGACAAATTATGGATATCGTTAGGAGAAAATTGATGTTGGTCACCATTGGGACTTAGAGGGTTAAATGAAGCACGTCATGGGTACTTGCTGTCTTGAGTCCATGGTCAAAATTCTAATTGGGGCGTGTTACGGTCGTATACTACATTAAACATTTCAATCGCGCTAGTTCTTTGTTTAGTTTTGCACATTCCTTTTACATTCTTTTCAGTTATCGCGATTCATATTCTGTTAGACTTCTCTGCGTAATTTCCTTTGTTTTTAGATCATTTTGTAAGTTTCATCGTTTATGTTAGATTCATTTCGCTTCAGAATTCGCAGCAACATCATCTCAGTTTCGTTCAGTTTTGTCAGTTGCCATCGTACCCTTTTCCGTTCAACTTTGTTCAAGTCACACAACGTTTGTAAGTACTTTCGCTTAGTTTGTTTCCTTTCATGTATTTCGTCGTTTCATAGCTGTTATTTGTATTCCTTAGTAACTTTCAATTTTGTTTTTATTGTAACAACCGTAATCGTAATTCGATGTTACCGTAATAACAAGAGTTGGAACGGTGGGACTATTCGCTATATAAGTGCGTCTACGACAGTTTTTGCGTGATAGCATCACCGTGTTATCATTTTAAACGTTTTCTATCGGGGCTTTCAAATTGAAATTCGGGATTTTTTTAAATTTAAACTTTCGGTCCCGTTGGAAGTGAAAAAGTTAAATTCATGGCAGTGATTGTTGTGAGTTTGTTACAACTCTTTTTTTGTTTTCCAGTTTTTGCATGGGACCTATAAGTCCCGTTCGTGCACATTCCCTCTGGGCAGGCCTGTGTCCAGAAAAGCTGGTAAATAAATAAATAAATAAATAAATTTGAAAATCGTGAAAGGGCAATGATCATTTGTCCTCATACCAGATCCTCAGTGCAAGTTACTTGAACTTTGATTGACTTCACTTTTTTGGAAAAAGTGAAACAGTTGTACACTGCAAAGGTCTGCAAAATAAATTGTACTGACCATGTAATATGTAAATCATGATAACAAGGGTTAATTATAGTAAGATAAATGTGAATAAAATGTGATAAGTACTATAATATTCAGTGAATTGCTTAGGTTTACCTCACTGACTGAAGAACCATGTCCCTAAAGTGGTTGATTTGAGGATAAATATATCATCCTCTTAGCAACGAGTATACGAAAGACATCAAGATCTTTACGTTAAGTAACAATGTCCAAGCTCATGTCTTCTTTCACAGAAAGCTTCGGAAGTCTTCAGAAACCGTCAGGCGACCTTTGGAAAATTGTCCGAAGGAATTAATGAACAACAAAGTTTTAATAGTACCTCCATTTGAGTTACACAAACTTGTGGTAAAATAATATACGATTATTTTTCTTACCAGCATTAAACGACACTAAATTTTCAGCTTATTTTTTGCGGTTAAAAGTTAAGCCCACGAAGACCCCCAAACAGCATCAGAGCAAGTCATGTGTTAGATTTACAGTAGTGGGACCATGAAATATTATTATTGTCTCATGATTCTCCTTTCACTCTTGTCCCTTCCTTGAGCACTCGTGATTTTTGTTTTGAATTTGTTACTCCTCCTTTTCCCCTAGATTTCGAGGCGTAACAAATTATTTATACGTGTGTTGTGAAAGGCTATCTCTTTTGCAATCTCCATATCAGTAAATCAGTTTGTGTCTGGGGAAGGAGAGCAGCTGTTTATTAAAAGACCTCTCCAACTTTGCGGGCTCTGGCCATACGTATCTTCCACGAGGCAAAACGGTAAACTTTGCCGTGCCCGACATTAGAAACTTTGATCTTATATGATCGATGACTCTGGGCGTGGCCTACAAAAAATTAGTGTCAATAGCTCTCATACAAATGCCCTTGAAAATTGGGAGCTTTGTAGAGAGAATCACAGAGAAAAATACGAAATTTCTCAGGATGCATTTTTATCAAAAATGTTTCCTTAAGAGAGATTGCAGATAACAAATGAACCCAGTTTGCAGTTCAATCGATAAGCTTTTGATCTAATGATACCGCATCTGACAGTTTGTCGGGTAATTTGTCGCCAGTCATCAAAATTTGTTCGCACTTCAGCGCACCGCTAAGTAGTTGACATTTTCCATCTCATTCAGACTCTCATTATTGAAACTATTAATCTTTGATGATGTGGCTTGTCGCGACCCATGAAAGCTGAGTGCGGTCATTCATGGAAGGCATAATTCACTGTGTTTATTATGTTGATGTCATTTTTATCCGAATTTAATTTCGTTATACAAAAAGACACCAAATTAATTTAAGAAAGAGGTTTTGTATCTAGTTGTAGCTTCAAAGCTTTAAATATTTGATATATACGTGTTCAGCCCCACGTGTTTTCAAACCAAACAACAGCGAGCTTTTAATGGGGAATTATATTGGTATCAGTGTTATTGTTCATAAGTGGTTCTGAAAATTAGGAAAAGAAAAAGAAAAGGTGTGTAAAAGCAGGAAAAGGGTGCCTTCCCGGAATCCTTGCGACAACCACTGAATAAACGAAGACATTTTAGAATGTTTGACATACAATTAGCCATTAAACTCTGCGGAGTTTTTATTTACAAGTTAGTTCTACACGCTTCCGTTGTGTGACGTTCATTGTGTGCGTTAATTGTGTTAAAATTCCCCCAGGGGAATTTAAACATGATGAACAAGTCAACACCTTTTCAATGAGTCGTGAAAGAAACGGAAAATTGTATGTTCCTGAAAGTGACCTCAGAGAGATACAGATCCTAGAACAGCCGGCCTGCTGACAGAAGTTTTAAGGATTTGGCGTGCAGATAAGAGATCAAAGAATAACCCAACAGCAAAAAAAGGAAATATCCACCGAAGGGGGCGTGCGCACTCATGTGTAAACGTTAACTCCTTGAAATATTCCGCTAGCCAGTACGTCGCGCATTTTCCTATGCTTTGTGTTCGAGGGAACATCACAATTAAACCGTGCATAGTTTACATTTTTCACGAAGACGCGAGGATTACTCAACATTTTCTCACAGTCGGCGACATCAGACAGTCTTATTTAAAATCAGCGTGCTCAAGTTGAAGTTTACTTTTTGTGGAAAGGAACATCATGGCGCGAACACTATGGAGGAGTTTAATCTTATTTTCACTACTCTTCTCTTGTGAAGCTTCGGACTCTGTAACATTTGAAGTTTTCGAGGAACTCGAACCAGGAACATTTGTGGGAGATATTTCAAACAGTACAACAGTTAAGGCACTGAACGCGAATGAGAATTTTAAACAGTTTATTCTCAGGTTTCAGTTCCTTGTGAATCAAGTAGCATTCAGAATAAACGCAAGTACAGGAATAATTCGCACCAAAACTAAGTTGGATAGGGAAGACTTATCACTTGTCGACGATACTTTTCAAACTCAAGTGCGAGTATCCAAAGGTTTTGGAATCGTGAATATGCCGATAGCGATTAAAGTTTTGGATATTAATGATAACAGTCCATATTTTCAGGAAACAGTTCAGAACATTGAAATCTTGGAATCTGCTCCGTTGGGCGCTGAGCTGGAAGTAACGGTTGCCGAAGACAAAGACATCGGCAGCAACACAGTTCAAAGTTACAAAATCATCAGTGGAAACGAGCGGGGTGATTTTAAGCTAAGAGTTTCTCGTCCTACTTCGGAACTCACGAAAGTCAAACTTGTGGTGGCGAAAAAGCTAGACCGCGAAAACAACGACAGCTATTATTTGGTGATAGAAGCCAGAGATGCAGGTAACCCGTCTAGATTTGCGACCAAAGGTCTCGACATAACTGTTCTTGACTCAAATGATCACATCCCAAAATTTAGCAAGGATCTCTTCACCGGTGAAATAAGAGAAAATTCACCTAATGGGACATTTGTGCTTCAAGTTAATGCTTCTGATAAGGACTTGGGTACGAATGCCGAAATCGTCTTTTCTTTAAAATCTCCACCACAATATGAAAACCTCTTCACGTTGGACGCGCAAACTGGCGAGTTGCGAACTAACGCTGTTTTGGATTACGAGCTCTCTAAGGTTTACCAGTTGGAAGTTACAGCAAGAGACAAAGGTCCAGACTCAATCCCTTCAAGTGCTGCTGTTAGAATCCAGGTTAGTGTAAAATGTTTACTTGCTTTAATAGAGTTAGAGGACTCAGAGTCCAATTTTGTGAACAAATGCCATGTTCGAGGAATAGGAAGGCTCATTGTTTTGCAATTTGTCGCGATTTTATTTTTAGGCCAAACAGTCTCTTAATTTTATAACTATACATCATTATGTTGCCTTTCATCTCTATTGTCCGTAAATGGTTGACTTTTTAGTCTTGGTACGCTTATGTTGAAATTTACAAAGAGATTTACATGTTATGATAACAGCAGTTGACAGACGAACAAAAAAGACTGTTGAAAGGAGAACCAGACATGAAATTGTTTTATGATTACCCCGCTTGCCCTAAACGAATTGAAACCTCGTTTCTTTGCCTCGGTTTAAGAACTAAAACGTTAGAGCATCTTTTATTTCTTAATCTTTAATTGCTGGAAGCCTGCTAATTTAAACAAAGACCCTTTGTTAAAACGTTGCCTAAAACTGAGATACGCGAAAATGAACAGTTGATTCTGAAGAATTCTCTTTGAATCGCAAGCAAGGGTCTCGCGTTATGTTGTTATATTACTTCACTTAGCCTCCTACTCGACTCAGCAAGAATTATTGCTTTTAAAGTTATAAGAAATTAAATTTAGATTATAGATCGCTTTATGAGATATTGAGGCAGTAATTTTTGATGGTTTTTGTTTTGATCGAGACTTAAATAGTAGCGAGAGTCTGTTCTCCAGCAGGTTGTTGAAGCTTGCTGTGTTACATTTCAAGTTCACTTTTGATTCAGTAAATACAGTGTAGATAGATTGTGTTTGTAAACGAAAGAGATAAACATCAGTCGTTGATTAACTCTTATCATGCGAATCCTTAAACTTCCCCGCTGTGAGTCCAATGATAGTGGTTTATTAGACACAATACAGTCTCTTTTGGTGACCTGCCTTTGTGATTAAAATCCTAAATATTCTTTGTCAAACAGCGTATCACTTTCAAAGATACACAATAGCTTTCCATCATCTTTTAGATTAAGCTTTACTGAAAGACTTTTCATTATATATTGCTATGAATCAGAAATGAAAAGTTCACATGTTTCACTATACTTGCTTGCAACGTGCCTATTTATGATTTAACACCGGCGGTCTATCTGTATTTCCTATCTTCTTTGTGTTTGTCACTATTGTTTCGAAGGCTTTTCCACAGCGGTCTAATCCTAAATGACACCGCTCTTAAGATTTACATTGACTTTAAAAAGGCCCATTGAAACAGACTAATCGTATTTGCATATGATTTTCACGAATGTAAATACTTTCAACTTGCCTCCGCAAGTCATTATAAAACGTTTGTTCAGTGTTTTCTCGTGTTAAAAGCCTCTGAAATCGGACCGTGTTTATCTCGAAGGTGTATGACTTTAGCTAGCAAATTAACCCATCTTCTGAGACAGCTGTCTTTTTATCTCTCAAAGCTTTGCTCAAGATTCACGTGTGTGGTCCTCTTCCAAGCATTCCAGCTATGATTTTTTATTAGCGTCTAAATCACTAAAAATTAAAAACATCCGTGCTAACAGAAATTAATAAACTTCATATTTCCATGAGTTTTGGTGTAATTAAAAAATCCGCTCTTGCAGCCGGATATGTTTCAATTATGTTTGCTAATTTTACTGTTTCGGTGTGCTATTTCATCTATTCATAGAGAACCCTTGAAATCTGTGCGACCTGAAATGTTTGTTCATCACTAAGAAAGTAAAATATTTAAATTGTCTCCAGCGTGGATCCTGAAAGTTGGGTTCTGTTTCATTTATCCTGTTCCCCTCAACAGCCATTTTCTTGTTCCTCGGTGAAGTCAACCTTGTGGGGTAATTCAATTTCATTGCAGAATAGTAAACATACTTTCTTTTAATCTCTCTTAAACCAGTTTTTCACTTTAAAAGCTTAGGGTTATGAGCAGCTTTTAGTGAATAAAATACCCCGTTTAAGAAACTAAACAGACCCTATTCTAATTAAATATTCCAAGGTGACCAGGTTTTTTTTGACATGATAGAAAACCTGAGTTATAAAATGTTCGGAAGGAAAGATGAAAAAACTTGAGAAAGAGGATTTCACCGTCATGAACAGCTTTAATTATTTTCACCTCTAGTCAAGATAAATAGAGATATCCTAAAAGTTACCAAGCCTTGCTATCAGGAAAGAAACAAGGCTTCCATTTTCTTGTTCTGTTCAAACTCACTCTAAAAAAGTGTTTAGTGCCTTACTGAGTTCTTATTTGATTGCTCACACTGAATATTTCATCCAAAAATTAAAAGCTGGAAGGCTGACCACGGGAAAGTACTGCTCAGTCGATTTCATCTGAATGGTGACTCTGCACAGGATTAGTTGCAAGCTACAACCACATGACATCATTAGCTTGTTCTGTAGGAAAGTAATGGGGAAGATAACAGGCCTGTTTAGGGTTTTTTGCAGACTCATAATTCCAGACACCTCAAGCGAACTTTACTGAGGATTTTTATTATCATTATTTAAGATGTCCACCATGGTCACTCCAAAAAACGTTAAAAATGAATGATTTCTAGACTACCACATAACCTTGCTTGTCTTATTTGTACATCGAAAATATGATTCAATTTCTGCAAGTATAATATTTCTTAGTAACAATTTCAACGAAAATGATGACCCCAACTGTTAGTACGAATGAGTTCTAGGACTTTCTTGTCAAAAACTAGATAGACGACCCAAGAATATTTAGAAGTGCTTATTAATATTCCTCCCTGTGGATAAAATGATATTTCTTGCTGGAGGCAAGTTTTCATTTGTAAATTTAGGTTGATGACTCATAAAAGAAGATACACATTTTTGATACACAAGCCGTGAGTAACACACGAAAGACGTTATTGGGTTTTGTTCGCTTTTAGTTGCTTTGCATTTTCCCTATTTGGTTATGCGAACGCTAGCAAAACATCCTAAGTTTGTAGTGCAATTGAAAAATTTTGCATCTTAATGATTTTATTTTTTCCGGACCAAATCGCGCCTTAAATGGAGGCTTCATGGTTTTTCTTGAATTGGCTGGAAAACAAAAAATGAAGATCTAATATTGGCATGTTATGTAGGAAGTTCGCGTTTTTGGCTTTCCTTTTCGTCATGAACTCGTTACGCCGATTTATTTAAAACAAACTGGTGTGGTGTCATTGAGAATGAACACAAAGTTGTTTATATCAAGCGATTCTTTCGCTTTTTGTTGTTTCATTAGTTTAGAAGCTATTTGTAAGTTGTTGAGGTGAATCCTGCTGATAGCAATACGTCTTTAGCGTGGTTTTAAAGTGATATGTGACCATGAACGGGCGAGAGCCAAGTGATAAGTCATCGGAATCGCGCCTGAGTAATTGCATAACGTTTTGATTTGTTCATCTGAATTACTTCTAATGAAAGCAAAAGTATAGAAAGTAATGAAACATCAACCAAAACTTGTCTAATTTACGGAAATTGTTGATATTTATCAACATGTACTCCGTTTTACCAGAATTTTCCTCTCGATGTTAGGTGCACGTTCACCCACGAAGCCCACACTTGACGCCCAAAAAAAGTATGATGCGATTATTATTAAATCTGCATAAAAATAGCTTTGATATGTTTTGGATTCCACGGTTTTGTCTGGAGTGAAAAATCAATGAGTTTTCTAACGAGAGCAATAGGAACAACAGTGAGCATTGTTTCTAATACGTTGAGAGTTAAGACCGAATCTGAGAGCTTCAATTGATAAGCACAACTTTCTAGTCGCTTCGGTAACAGTTTTCCATCTTTGTTGTGAAGAAATGACTATGATATGTTTGTATTTAATTTGAGCGTTTTAGTCTCGAGCACGTAGTCGAATTTTTAAGCTGGCCAGAAAATGACAAATATTGTTCTCTTAGTTTGCTCTTAAAATCAAACGAGGAGTTAGTGATAGCGTAATCAAAACTGTTAACGAACTCGTTTTCGGCTGATTCCAATAAACTTGAGTTGCTTTACAATCGTGAAAGATAGAAATAAATTATTTGTAAACATAAAGTAATTGATGTTGTAGAAACAGTAGTGCACGAAAATTGTTGTTATTTAGAATCTTCTGGTGGTCATTTTGAGTGCTTTTTAGGGTGGAAGTTTTATTTAGCTCTTTCTCTCGCAACTTTGAGAGTAAGCAGTGCCTCCCCAAGCATTCCGATGATGCAATACGATAGTTCAACCTGTATCCAGTCAAGTTCTATTGGCTAATGACGCTAAAAGTGAATGACCCAAATAATGTTCCTATCCGTACAAACAATGCTGTGTGGGTGTGTTTTCAGAAGCCAATGAAAATAGAGGTTTCTGAGAACTTAATGATTCCAGGTCTTGTGTGTAGCCAGGTAGTGAACAAAGTATGCACTTATTAGCATGCGACTTGCTATTGGTGAATAGTGGCATGAGTAGACAGTGCCATACCAATATCGTAAAGGTGGAACAGCACTGGTCTATTTTATCCAGTAACACTCTGAAAAACTAAAGGACTTTAGACTCGGCATTGCTTTGTCCACCCCGTTTTCCTCCCAAAAAGCACTGGAGACCAAAGGAGATGAGCGTTAGAAGTTTGCAGTGCATTTTTAACTCTCAACTCAAACACGTAGGCTCAAACAACGAAGGCCTTGATTCGTTGATGGTGCATAAATTGCGGGTACACGTGAAAATGTTTAGGGGCGGGGATTGCTGTACATAAATTGTCCCAAGTTACTATGCTGGTCTTCGTGTTTCTCCAGACTATTGGACGAAGCGCCTTCAAAAACTTCTTTTACTAACAAGTTAGTTCTTTGACGCTCTTCTAGGTGCTTGACGAAAACGATAACTCGCCAGAAATAACCGTGACCAACTTCTCAGAAGCATTTGACGGAAAAGGACGGCTTCCAGAGGACACCCTACTAAAAACTGGTCTTGCTATGGTGACAGTAAATGACAGAGACAGTGGCCAAAACGGTCGCGTGACGGTCACGCTACAGCGCCACAAGCAGGATTTCGAACTAGCGGAAATGTTCCCTGGGTCATACTTACTTGTAGTAAAGAATCCTTTGAGCCTCGACCGCCACAAGCAATACAAGATAAAAATTGTCGCAGAGGATCAAGGTGTCCCGACGTCACGGCGGAACAGTCGTGTTTTTGTGGTTAAGTTGGCGGACAGTAACAGAAATGCTCCTGTATTCTCTCAGGACGTATATAACTTAGAAGTCCGTGATGACGTCACAGTTAGTGAAGTGGTCACCATGGTAACGGCAACTGACGAAGATCAGGGGAGAAACGCAGAGTTGACATACATCATAGAGAGTTTAAGCATCGGGAAACTTAACGGAACTGAAGAGGATAAGAGCAAGTGGTTTTCGATTGATCCCACAACTGGCCATGTGCGCGTTTTGTCCAAGTTGTGGTGTGCTTTTACTCCATCCTTTCGACTCCAAATTGACGTGAAGGATAAAGGCCGCGTGCCTTTACATGGGAAAACAACACTTAATATTTCCGTTCGGTGTTCTAAACATTTGTTCAACTTCAGTGTGGCAGAGAATGAACCTGAAGGGACTGAAGTTGGAAAAATCCCTTTTTCCAATGTTATCCCGGAGAGGCCACTTCAGATAAGACTGCTTTCGGACGCTAATCAAGAGTTCGCCATTGATGAAAAAACAGGCGTCCTCACTACAAAGAGGCTACTTGACCGAGAAGATGTTTCCTCATATTTGCTAACAGCTGTTTTATCAGATGGAAGCGCGGAAATGAAACTCGCGGTGAACATAAAGATTGTGGATGAGAATGATAACACTCCAGTGTTCATAGGTTTAAGGGACCACGATAACATAACACTTACAAATCTCGTTTTCGGCTGATTCCAATAAACTTGAGTTGCTTTACAATCGTGAAAGATAGAAATAAATTATTTGTAAACATAAAGTAATTGATGTTGTAGAAACAGTAGTGCACGAAAATTGGTGTTATTTAGAATCTTCTGGTGGTCATTTTGAGTGCTGGGTGGAAGTTTCATTTAGCTCTTTCTCTCGCAACTTTGAGAGTAAGCAGTGCCTCCCCAAGCATTCCGATGATGCAATACGGTAGTTCAACCTGCATCCAGTCAAGTAAGGGCGCGAGGAAGCTCTTAGAATATACCTTGTTCTATTGGCTAATGACGCTAAAAGTGAATGACCCAAATAATGTTCCTATCCGTACAAACAGTGCTGTGTGGGTGTGTTTTCAGAAGCCAATGAAAATAGAGGTTTCTGAGAACTTAATGATTCCGGGTGTTCTGTGTAGCCAGGTAGTGAACAAAGTATGCACTTATTAGCATGTGACTTGCTATTGGTGAATAGTGGCATGAGTAGACAGTGCCATACCATTATCGTAAAGGTGGAACAGCACTGGTCTATTTTATCCAGTAACACTTTGAAAAACTAAAGGACTCCAAACTCGACATTGCTTTGTCCATCCCATATTCCTCCCAAAAAGCACTGGAGACCGAAGGAGATGAGCGTTAGAAGTTTGCCATGCATTTTTAACTCTCAACTCAAACACGTAGGCTCAAACAACGAAGGCCTTGATTCGTTGATAGTGCATAAATTGCGGGTACACGTGAAAATATTTAGGGGAGGGATTGCTGTACATAAATTGTCCCAAGTTACTATGCTGGTCTTCGTGTTTGCCCAGACAATTCGACGAAGCGCCTTCAAAAACTTCTTTTACTAACAAGTTAGTTCTTTGACACTCTTCTAGGTGCTTGACGAAAACGATAACACGCCAGAAATAACCGTGGCCAACATCTCAAGGGTATTTGACGGAAAAGGACGGCTTCCAGAGGACACCCTACCAAAAACTGGTCTTGCTATGGTGACAGTAAATGACAGGGACAGTGGCCAAAACGGTCGCGTGACGGTCACGCTACAGCACCACAAGCAGGATTTCGACCTAGCGGAAATGTTCCCTGGGTCATACATACTTGAAGTAAAGAATCCTTTGAGCCTCGACCGCCACAAGCAATACAAGATAAAAATTGTCGCTGAGGATCAAGGTGTCCCGACGTCACGGCGGAACAGTCGTGTGTTTGTGGTTAAGTTGGCGGACAGTAACAGAAATGCTCCTGTATTCTCTCAGGACGTATATAAGTTAGAAGTCCGTGATGACGTCACAGTTAGTGAAGTGGTCACCATGGTAACGGCAACTGACGAAGATCAGGGGAGAAACGCAGAGTTGACATACAACATAGAGAGTTTAAGCATCGGGAAACTTAACGGAACTGAAGAGGATAAGAGCAAGTGGTTTTCGATTGATCCCACAACTGGTCAAGTGCGCGTTGTGTCGGAGTTGTGGTGTGCTTTTACTCCATCCTTTCGTCTCCAAATTGACGTGAAGGATAAAGGCCGCGTGCCTTTTCATGGGAAAACAACACTTAATATTTCCGTTCGGTGTTCTAAACATTTGTTCAACTTCAGTGTAACAGAGAATGAACCTGAAGGGACTGAAGTTGGAAAAATCCGTTTTTCCAATGTTATACCGGACAGGCCACTTCAGATAAGATTGCTTTCGGACGGTAATCAAGAGTTCGCCATTGATGAAAAAACAGGCGTCCTCACTACAAAGAGGCTACTTGACCGAGAAGATGTGTCCTCATACTTGCTAACAGCTGTTTTATCAGATGGAAGCGCGGAAATGAAACTCGCGGTGAACATAAAGATTGTGGATGAGAATGATAACACTCCAGTGTTCATAGGTTTAAGGGACCACGATAACATAACACTTACAAAACCGGTTTTTATCGGAGAAACAATTTTGAAAGTACAGGCTGTGGACGAAGATTCTGGGTCAAACGGGCAAGTGCAATACTCCATTGTCGGTGGGAATGACAATCAAGTGTTTCGCATAAACACGCGAAACGGGAGAATCACGCTTCGAAAACAACTGAATAAGGCATTGTATAAACTGACGATCAAAGCTTCGGATTCTGGTGTCATTGAAGAAGAAAGTTTTCTCCGCTTAAGCATCTCCGTCAAGTTCATAACACCTGCCCCTCCCTCCTCACCCCCAACGACAAAAAATGTGGGGGTAGTAGATAGCAGGAAGGGCGGCTTCTTCGAGGATACGAAAATGATCATTATTATCGCGGTTGCTGCGGGCGTCTTGTTATTGACTATTTTTCTGACAGCGGTATTCTGCATTAGGCACAGGCGCAAAGGAGAAAAGAAACCGGATGAAGTGGGTAATCGCGGGAGCTATCATGAACCAGATATCAGTCGCGAGGACGCGCTCATGGCGTCCAAGAAAATGTTCCACCAAGCTACCGCTAAACAGCGCCAGTCACCTAGTACACGACAAAAAACAGTCAACGTCTCACCCTACCCTATTAAAAAGATGCACTCAATGCCGTATCAAGCCGCAGGGACAGGGTCTCCCACCGGACCGGTCAAACCGGATATGTACTACCCGGTTGAACAGGAAATGATAGAGTATGGTAGCAGTGACGATGAACTAGACAGTGGACGTGGTGGGAGCTCTCGCTCAAGTCCATATTGCACTCACAGTCCACCATCCAAGAAGAAGGAGAATTGGTCACACCCTCACGTGCGATATAACGCCCCTGCGCCTTACAGGGCTCGTGGTCCTGCTCTTCCCCCATCCCCTCCCCCTTACGAAGAAGTTCAAAGGCGACCAGAATTCGTGACCATTTCAGGAATCACGCATTCCACTACGGATCTCTAGATACATGTATCCTTAGCGCACACATTAGCCTGCGTGGCAGGCATTCAAAAGGGAAGGGGAAGGGAATTTGGTCGAGAGACCGTGCGCGAGGCAGAAGGGAGTAGAGGTACGCAGTCCTATTCCTCCCCCACGCGCGCCTTTCGCGCTCACACTTCTTGCGCGTTCGTAATCCCCTTATCCTTCCCTTTTAAACGCCTGCCACGCCAGGGTACAAACACACACATAAATTAAAAAGCAGTATCCTGAGCTTTGGACGACGCGCTAGTTTGGAACGTCTACATTATTTCACCCCTATCGATCATCGCGTTCTTTCTTGAAATATTGTATATATACGTCCGTTACTGTTTACATTCACCCAACTTTCGATTACTTTAAAAACGAGAGGAAACTGGACCGAGCATTCGCAAAGTCTTCTGGGATGGTTACTAGGGACGCGCTGGTCATCTATTGGCCAATTTGTTTTCCTGTCCTCCGTAACAATCCCAGAAGTCTTTGCGAACGTTTACTTGTTTTGAGAAATTTAGGTAGGTGAGCCAGCATGAACTTGAAAAGCTATTCACCTCAGTTGCCAGAGGCAAACGCCGAAACAAACATTTAGGTCAAAAGAAAAAATAGCTGATTTGGAATTGTACTAGATTTATACTGCTATATCAAATATGTTATATCAAGTTTTCTGAGTTTTCTTGTCTCGGGAAAGCGTTAAGTAGAATGTTAATATTTTGTAAGTAATTCACGACCAATATACGAATGAAAAAGTTTGATATTGTAGTCAGTAAGTTTAACCAGTGAAATAAAAAGGCAAAATGAAACATTTGTTATTCTCAACCAGTTTTAGTTTTTACCTTTCACTAATTTCAAATCGTCGCGGACGATGCGGACATATCTCTTTATCTCGTTGCAAGCCGAAGGAGAGAGAAAGAGAAAAGAGACTGGGTATTAGTTTTCGAACCCGTGGATGCTGTTCAATGCTGCTCGATGCTCTGGTTAAGAAACTTGAATTGGCCTTTTCCGAGCTCCAGGAAAAAGAAAAAGAAAGCCAAGTGCGAAACCTTTCTTGTGTGAAAATAATTTTTATTTGCATGAGAATAAAAATCATTTTCATATCAATAGCTTCGCACTTAGCCTCAATTTGAAACAGAGGTTTAGGGTAACTTGGAGATGTCCTTTTTTAACCTTGCCAAGTGTGTCTCGTTCCCAGGCTGGCACCCATGCAAGAACGCATAGATTGATTCCTGCCCCAGTGCCCGTCATTTATTTTGGTCGTGTAGTTTCGTTACAACAAAACCGGAGTGACACTAGAAACAATAAAGGCCGTCAGCAAAACAATTCTGTGATTCTCTTTAGTGAAGGCTATGATTTCAGTGCAACATTTGTTATGCAATACGCATCAATTACATACCGTAAGCTTGGCCAGTGGCAATCCGTCAGTGACGTCAGCTCAGTTTGATCCAGTTTTGAAAACGATCTGTAGACCTACCGCTAATTTCCGAACGTGAATGCGCGCGCGCAGCAACGAGTATGAGGGGAACGGTCTCCGAGTTCGGGCAGACCTTAGACAGTGAATGGAAAGAAAAGTGCAAATAAATTTGGTTTATTGTCTTTTTCAATAAGTCGCTATCACATTGTCTTGGCTATGTGCTGTTTTCTGTACATGAAGACTACACAAGTTTGTTTAGTAATTAACTCGTCTCTCCTATGGATTATATACACATGCACTGAATCTTGCATTTCGAACATTCGCTTCCACCGATGTCTTTATTCCGGAGATGTCTCTAATCGGCTCTCGTTATCGTATCTCAAGTTTGGGTCTGGCTTGACTGCTTAGTTCAAGTTTGACAAGCCATTCGTTGATTATTTTTCAATTCTATTCTACCGATATAAAACAGGAAAGGTATGTTATGTAATTTCTGAAGGTTTAAGAAAATCAGTTGTCTTTTCCTGGCCTCAACAGCAGCTTTAAAGTTTCTTTAAGACAGAAACTGCTACAGCAATTTGCTAATGAACGTTTACAACGGGTTGGACAGAAGTTGCTGATCTAGAGGGTTAAATGACGTATTTATTGGAGTGTGGTGCTTCGGTCCCAGCGAGGCTGGAGAGCGATCATAGGATTAGCCGCAGGGGGCGCGATTGCTTGCTCATTAACTAAAGGCTGCTGTTGTTCCCTTGCCTCTGGCGGTGGCGGAAGAAAATTACTTTGATCACTGGGAAGTGGGGAGTCGTTCTGAAAGGCCAGCGACTGATTTTCGTTTTGTAATGCTTTGGCCAAAGGAGCATCGTTAACACCAGTTTCTAGATCAGGTTGATTTCCAGCTGTAAAACCAGCTGGCGCATTGGCTTCACCACCAGGTTGGTCATTTTGATATGCACTCATAGGTGACATAGGAGCCATTGGGGGTGGCAAGGGTGCCATGGGTTGCTGTGGCATGAAAGACGCCTGGGGAGCCTGTGGATATTGCTGCGGCTGCGGTTGATACGCCAGTGGTTGTTGATTGTAAAGCGAGGGTGCAAAGCTGGACTGTTCGGGGTACCCTGGTGCTACAGGAGGTAACACAGGGGGTGATGCTGGAGGCACTGCAGGGGGTGCTGCTGGAGGTGCTGTTGGAAAAAATATGATTTAATTATTTTTATTGATTGACTTCACATGATGGCTGAACAAGGAATATAGGTATTCGTGATCTAACTAAGGAATTTCCCAATGTAGTTTTTAAAGCTAGTGTCAACTTTCAACGAGACCATAATGTACCTTGTTTACCGCCCAAAATTTTGCATAACCATGGTTTTCAATTTCTCCTGGGTATTGCAGTCGTCCCATGAGAAATCGGAGACAATGGTTACGCAAAATCTTCGGTAAACAATAGATAAGGGGCCAAATAATGTCCCTTTAGCCCAGCTATTAGCAATGGGAAATGGAGTTTATAGGGAAAAATAAAAAAATGGACAGCTTTAGCCTGTTCACAAACTTTCTACTTTCTCTTAAGAGGTCGTCGAGTGCGCGTAAAAATAAAAACTGCGAGAAGAAGACCATATGGTTGCGCCGCTTGCTTTAAAATAGTTGCGGACTAAGAAAGTTTTCATTAAAATAATCACTTACCTGGAAGAGGAACAGCTGCATCAACAAACGGATCCAGGTCCAAACGGTAAAAGTAAGTGTAAGAGAAACAAAATATAGCATAAATGAATATTAAATTCATCCAACTTTCGTCGTGACAGCTTGAGTGCTTTCCGTCTCTCGTTTTGCTATAAGTGATACATTTAGTTATAATCTCCCATGGGGAGTTGTTATAATTCTTAGTAGGCTAGCTACCGCTTCTCAAAACACTCCTCCATTTATGATCGGCTTATTAGTGACCATGGTCTTAACCTAATTGTTAGGATTGCCGACTTATTTTTTTTCCTTTTCTTTGCCTGTTTACCATATCAAGTTTTGTCCTCGTGGTTAACTCTTAGTTTTCCTGTTTTCCTTCCCTGTTAGTGCTTTTATATTCGGCTTCCTATTTCTTCTCGAACAATCATCGGGACTCTGACACTAAACATTTCCATGGCGATCAGACAAAATTTTACATTGTTATCTGAGAGAAGATTCTCCCCCCCTCCTGTCCTCTCCCTTTCCCTCCCCTCCCTTCCCCTCACCTGTTCTCAAGCTCTGTCTACCCTCTCCCACACCAATTATTAGATTAAAATTTTTTTCGTACCATTTGGGTCCTTGACACATGTCGGTCTGTTGACGGCGATAGCATCCTTACATTTTGGCATCACACATGGTACGTATTGAATCTTACAGGTTTGACCAACGGGGCACTGGAATTTCTGTTGTCCAGGTTAAAAAAAAAAACGTTAAATTATACTAGTTTTAATATTTACCAAGCTGGACCTATTGTCAATTATAAGCGCAAAAAATAACAACGATCACTTAAAATTAGCCGTTACTAGCATATTTAGCTGCTATAAAGGTGTTATTGCAAATGCTGTTAAAATTGATGACTTACTTCTTCTTGAGCTCACTGAGAACTATTCAATTTATGAAATGCACAGAAGTTCAGGCCTTCACGCCCTATAGATAAGGATTATCTATTTCCATTGCCTGGACCTTCAAGATATTCTCGTCCCCAGAGCTACTGGGCTCGTTTCTAACGAGACAAAAGACGGGCTCGGGGCACAAGAATGTTTCCAGATTAAGGACAAGTGCTCATGCCGTAAATTAATATATTAAGTTCCATTCTACAACCAGTGACCAGTACATGGCCGTACCTTGACTCAATCTCTAGACTCTAATATAAATTCCTTCATGTTACCTTTTGCAGTTAGTAATGCATAAAATGGGATTTTTCCCAAGGTAATTAAATCAAATAAATTACAAATGTTGCTCTCCAGAAAACGGTTTTTGGGACGGCGCAGTTAAAAGGTGCGTTGGCTTCATCTTACCTTGCATGGATTTGGATCTCGCACTGAAAAAAATTAAATGCAATCTAATTATTTATCTTTCGTTATTGTGGGTTAAAAAGCTGTTGAAATGCAAGACAACAGGTAAGTTATATTGGTTATTCTAAAAAGAGCTTTACATGAAATGCAAATGTACTTGTTTCACACATGTATCACAACAATCGATGTGGTAATGGTAATGGCAAACGTAAAGACCATTAGGACCGAAAGGCATTTAAACCATGCAGTGCGTCTTTCGGGGTTATATACTGGCATTAACTACCATAAGTACTTGGCGCTTCTGTATTTTTCGCTTCTAAAATTTTAGGCATGGTCCGTTTCATATACAAGGGACTATTTCCAGTACAGTACTGGAAATGTAGCAAGTTCTACCTACTTGTAGGTGTGCACACCATGCCACCACAGTAGTTCTTGCAGCACTTCCGGTCAGCGTCACAGTGGCTGTCCTCTGAACACTCAGACTCAGTGCATTTGGGATTAGCGTCATCTGGAAGTACATAAGCCACGCCCCAGAAGTTCAGGCGAGGGTCCTTGATTTTAAAGTTCTCCGCAGGATTAACGCACAATCCAGTTCGCGAGAGATAACCTGGAATAATAGCAAATCTTTTAATTATGTTGATTATATCCTCGCTATAAAGTCTGACGAATTATTGGAAAGAAAGAAAAGTATGTACGTTCCCACAGCAGAACAGCCATTTTTGCTTCTTTAGTTTTCCTTCCTCGAATAGTATATTTTGTTAATTAAAAGGCAATGGTGTAAAATACATTTTTTTTAACCATTTGAACATTTTCAAGGAGGCAGCGTGGCTGAGTGGTTAGAGCGCTGGACTTACAATTCAGAGGTCCCGACTTCAAGTCCCCCCCTGACCGCTAGCTGGATTTGTTCACGGTAGTCTCGAGTTCAAATCCTCGACCACGCTTGTAAATAGCCAGCTGGTTTGCCTCCGGCCAGTTGTGATTCTTAACCCTGTTAAGTTCAATTTGAATTTTTTATTTCAGGTATTTGCTCGGCCCCAGTAGCATTAGTGCTATAAAATATAGTAGTATAAATAGAGTCTGTTGTAGATAAAGAAATGTCATATTGCACTAACTTTCGAGTCTGTGGGCAAAAAAATAGAGTTCGGAGCTGATTCAAATGAACCCTCTTTGGCTTTTATATCACTTGTTTTTCAGTATCTGACAAACACGGAAATTGGAAATTCGTTTTGTCCATAATTACGTACAGGAAGATGTCCAGCTTACCTCTTTTGTTTCTTTGTATTGACCCTGTGAATGGAAAAATATTTGTTAGGCATATAATGATATTAGTAGAAAATCGTTAAACTACCAGATGGGCTCCTGAAACCTCTTAATTATTTCAATAATCCACCAAAAGGAAGCATTGAAATCATATTTTATATATAGTATCTCAGAATCACTTTGTAATTTTAAAAAATATACATGAAAATTTAAGGTTATCTTTCTGGCATATTATAGCAGATACTGTACATGCGAAAAAAAAAAAAAAAAAACACGCGCAAACAAGTCATCTGCATTTGGTTGTGAGTTCATTGAGTTGGGGCTTAACGTCCCCCGGCGGAGTTTGGATAGAGGTGTGCCGCCGAACCCTTCAAACCCTGACCCCGTTTAAGACAAAAATCATTCATTTTACCACTCTGTTTAAGAAAAGAGAACTAATTTAATGAATTAAGTAATTTTTTTCAAGTTAAATGTATATAGTGGATAGGAGGAGAGACGTTACCTGACTGACATAATACAGCAATTCCAGCTAAAAGTAAAACTACAAATGCCCTCATTATTCAACTCATCCACAGCTTGTTGATCTGTTAAAAAGAAGGGGAGCTAACATTAAGAAAGATATACCGAAGTAAAATGCCGATATCTCTCAAACAAACTCTCTGTGTACTAGCTTTTTGACGCTTAAAAATGAAGTAATTGGGGTAACACAATCACTGGTAAACCAGTAGTTTTCATTGTGGCCAAAACGGTTAAGAATTCCAGCTGGCAGGAGGCAAACCAGTTGGCTTTTTACCAATTTGACCCAGGAGTTGCACTCGGGAACTACTGAGAGCAAATCCAGCTAGTGGTTAGGCTAGTGGGCGTGGGTTGAACTCAAGGCATCGCAGATTACAATTAAACGCTCGATCACGCTACCTTCTTGGCTGAGCTAACACTGATTGTATTCTAGAAAATGGACGGGGAAGGCCCTCATAAAAAATTTAACATGTAGATGTATAGAAAGAACCATTCAAAATTCCCATTGTGAAATTCTCAGCTGTTGTTATGTGCTTGTCACTGTAAGGGGTCATGAGAGGTAAAATAAACCAGGAATAACCAAGTGGGGACTAGAATGCAGGGTCCGTTAGCGATAAGCCGTACCTGGTCCCCCGATCTCGTCCTCAGGGCTTTTTTCTTAGAGAAAAAGGATCATTATACGTTAACACTTTCTTCTCACTTAGGGCAAAATGTTGGCTTAGGGGAGGGGTAGGTGGGCAAAATCCCTAGTAACGAGGTTGTTAGTACCCCTCACACGAGAGAGTACTGCTTAATACTGAAGGACTACGTAGTTTGATTGACTAAAGCCGAGGATTGCACAAAAATGACGCATTTGGCACACTGCTTACTGTCCTTACGGTTGTTTAGAATTTAAAAAGAACTTTGTATTTATCCGTAGCAGCCCAATATTACATCTAATTAATTCACTGAAATTTAGTACTTGGAGGACTCTAGGAGATAGTGACTTGAAAAACTAGGCGAGGACGTCTCTTATGGGGGCGAGGGATGAGAGTCAGCTAGAACGAGGGCCCAGTTCGCGACTGGCATCGCCGGACTATCCAGATATTCCGTTATTGCATTATCATGCACCATTGTTTCTTAATCAGCTTCTTGCTCCAATTTGTCTTATTCTGAATTTTTTTCTTAATTAAATGTGATTTCATTTTTTTTATGATTTAGTTGACTACCTAAGCAGATCGACAATTCTCTCTTTTAGCTGTCCAGTTGAACGCCAAAGAAAAGTGATTAAATATTTTCCTTGATTGTTTAACTCTTCGTTCGTTATATCAGAAGTGAAAGTTCGCCTTATCAGAATGGGTACCCGCTGGTATCAATGGCAGGTTGTTGATATTTTGCACATGAGTGGATCTAAAACAGTTGAGACGAAGGACTTAAAATCTTCAGTAATTTCATCTTTTACCTTAAAACCAAACCGCGTTGTACTCTTCAAAAATTGGATGCAGCGAATAATTCTATTATAACAGAAGCTAATGATAACGGACCACTATGTTTGTGCCAGACAACTTGTGTTCCATGCGCATATCTTGTACTAAGATCGCATCAAAATTTTCTGTTGTAAATTATATTATTGTAACTGCTACTTATGCTAAGATATTTACGTTTCTCTCGAGATAAGTGATAGCTGAAATTGCCATAAAACCGCAAATAGACATTGCAACTTGATCAAATTGTTATTATATCTGTCTATTTTTTTGGTTTTTTATAGCACAATATGAAGTTTTTAAGGAAGAATTTTACTTAACCCATAAAAACCATGCACAAATGAATCACGGAAAAATTTACCTTACCTTTTAGAGAACAACTTTTAAAATTTCCCTATTTTCTTGCCTTTCTTCCTCCGTGCAAAAATAATTTCCCCAATTACCTCATTTCTTGAAAATTAGAGAATCACACTATTTACCGCTGACCAAAGGAATTTCACATCATCAAAAAGGCGTCGGACAAGAGTGTTTTTTTTGCCTTAATTGATTTATTTCTTCGCCACTACCAGCTTGATGAACTTTACACAGTTGTGAAAGTTATCTTGCGAGGTTCGCTTCAACATTATGAACAATGCTAAGGATCTCTACGTTAAAATTGTTACCGGGTGTTGTCTGTGGGCGAGATAGTAGTTTTTTTAAACATTTTAATTATAGCTCGGACTTGAATTAAAGAGGGCTGAAAATAACTAACTTAATCGTGGCATATAATGTTATTTAACATTTTTCTGTTTTTGGTTGTATTTCAGATATTTTTCCTTTTTTAATTTCGAGAAACTTAATTACCATTTGTAAACAAAAATTGCTAAAATTTATCGTCATCGAAGCGAAAAGAAGCTCTGAGAAAAATTATTTCTTTCTTAGCGTGAATTTGACTTAAACCGCTGTAAATTCAAAATGGCGTCCTCACCCCGGTAAGCAGTGACAAATAAAATTCACTCAGTGAAAAATATATTTCTAAATGAATGCTCATTCTATACATGTGGTATCCCGCGTACCGCGTCCATCGGAGATAGCTACTACGGCATATAAGACAGCTTTCCATTTTGAAGTAATTTTTTTTGTGTATTGCGAACCGCGTATCTATTGTTTTTCAGTAACGCAGTTAACGTAGCGGTAGGTTTTTTTTTTGCAGCTACTCCAAGTATTTTCAGTTCACTTTCCTGAAGTACTCTCTTATTTTGATACATGATACAGCAGTTTTAACTTCTTCCCGTCTTTTTTAAAAATTAAAGATAAACAAAACCCTTGGTGTGACAGCTTATTCTTATAAATTTCCCCTTATATTGCTAATTACCACTATATTGTCAGTTCGCCCAGGAAATAACTGTCTTGTGAATCCAAAAATGGATAAGCGATACACCAAATGGTGTCTTCAATCTCACTGATATGACTCATGAACACCTGGTTATACGAATCCATCTGGGATATACATGGCGGACTCAAAACGTCGTCAGAGATCTTGCATGTATTTACCTATATTTAATACAGCTAGCAGCATCATTAACTCACAGCCAGCTCTATGAACTAGATGGTGATCTCTTAAAATTTCTGTTTAAACTATTTTTACCCAAATGATTTTATAATAAACGTCAAAAAGGAAATAAATGAATAAATAAATAAACTGATCGAGTCCACATGATCGCAATTTTCAGAAAGAATCGAATCCTTGAACATCACGACCGCAGATAAACCAGATTTAGCTTTCCATCGTCAAAGTGAAACTCACCGAATTCTCTTTGAGCATACTTAATTGAAATCATTAAGTTTTTGCGCAAAAAAAAGAAAACTAAGAGGAACTTTGAAGCACTGGTAGAGCGAGAACTGAATTCTAGCCTCAATTGTTCATTGCTTTGATTTAAAAATTCAGAATTATATTTACGTATCTTTGTCTTATACTTGACAGTCGTTTTTTATTATTTTTAAGTCTAAAAATGACGAATTTTTTTTTGGCCTAAAATTTTTTTCACCCATTTGATTGATTTACACTCCATCTTGTATTTATTCTGATAGAATCTGATGTTGTTTGCTCATTCCATCCACTACTATTCAGATTTACTGTGTTATTGAAATGACGCAAGTTGCTGAAATACAAATCGATTGTCACCGAAGTTCAACCAGAAGTTTTCAGGTTTTTCCGGCAAGGAAGCAAAATAATTATAATAGTCCTTTGCCTTTTAACTAAGATGTTTCAGTTCTCTAGTTTTTTAAATCTTTGAGTTAGACATATGACGTTCAATTTTTTTATAGCAACTGTTAAACTTGTGATAAAAGCGGAAACAGATAAAAATCTAAATAAAGACATGAGTGCATTAAAAAGTTTTTAAATCACTCAAAAGTTCGATTTATATGCATTTAACTTGATGGAGGTTTTTGTTAACTCAAAGTAGTTTTGTTAGCAGCTATATTCTATTCTTTATTTACTTCTCTGTTCGACACCGACCTGATTGAAAAAACAAATGAGCGGCGCCTGGATCTTTAATTTTTTACATTTGACAGAAACAGCTGAACCGATTTTCTGTCAATATTAAAGGTGCTACAGCGCGCTTGAGAGTAGATATTCTTTACTGTCTCGTAAAATCAATTTTGTTAATACCTCGCCAATTTTTCCCATTTATATTTCAGTGCTTTTTGGACCTGAAAGCGGAAAATAACTGTTCAACCGTGCGAAACCTCGATCACGGAAGACTGGTAGCAAGTGTTTATGCAAAGATGGCGGGCAAAGTTGGAGCAGGAAAATGTCTGTAAAAATCCGCTAAAAGTTTCCACCTTTTACCGGGGTTATGAGTCTTATGAGACAAGTAAGCCTTCTGGCAGCTGGCTGCCAGCCATGGAACCTTGATGTGTGCGCAGCGAGCTGTAATGGGGATCGATTTGCCTACTGCGCGACCCTGGCGGTTTACGTTTACGAGGTATGACGGAGAAGTCGTTTTGCGTTCCAAAACCGCGGTTCCCTTTCTATCTTCAGTTTATCCCCGATTTCAGTGTTTTTTCACTCTGTTTATATTTTGGATAAAGAGGAAAATGGTATTAATTTGATTCGTTAAAACTTGATTCACTTGTTGTAGTGACTTTGCATTGTTGAATGTTTATATTTGCCATTGGTTACATTAATCCGCGGTCGCGGTTTGTGGAATGCGTATGACTGCTCAGTATTCCGATGTTACTAGGTAAACACCTTCCCATCTCACCGTCTTTTAAGAGGAGCTGATACTCTCTTCTGAGAAGATGGTTAAATAAACAAATTGTCATCGTTAATTTGGGAATCATTTTATCTTGATAAGTTTATTTACTTCCAAATTCTACTCTTCTAGATTAAAGCTTAACTTTACCGAAATGTGGAAGCAAGGCGACGTTCTCTGGCAGACAAATTTTTCTTTATTAAACAGCGGCTTAAAAGTTCGTGCTATTTGTTCTCTTGTAGAAACATTTTGAGACAACGGAAGGGTTCCATTTTGAAATGTTGCGTTTAGCTCGCTTCTTATATGAAATGATAGCTTCGTCTCCCGCCCCTCATTGATGAGCACATTTCCATTATCCCTATTCCCACTTGTTCCAATTTTTCAGTAAAATTGGTGATTCTTATTGGAATATTATTGTTACATTTTGCACATCCTATGCAGTAGGCATACTTAATTATAGCATCTTTGGAGGTTATCCGTTATCAGGTAGAAGAGTAATATTATAATTTTTCACATTTATTTAAATTATCTGATAGGTTTGGTGACTTATTCATACTAGGGCATAGTGTTTTGTAGAATCCCTTGGAAGTTGTCTTCTCCACATTCTGGGGGGCATCTTATGCATACCTGGAGCTTGAAGAATAATATTATGACCACCTAATCCTGCTTTTTTTTTTTTGTCAGTTGGATCGCCAGTTCAATGAGTTTCGTCTGTCAGCCATTTTAGCACAGCACAAGAAGACAATTACATGCCTTGTTTGGCATTCCAAAAACTCTGACATTCTTGCAACATCCAGCAATGATTGTAGAATTTGTATATGGAGTGTCTCACAACAAAAAGTGATCAGCACCTTGGACAGCTTCAACTCTGTGCCAGTATGTATCGGATGGTGTCCTCATGACCAGGATTCAATAGCTTACATTAATGGGCGTGGACCGATGCAAATATGGAGCTACACTGCCCCTGCTGAAAAGATAGTGTCAAAGTATCTAGAATCTGTGACATTTTTTTCTGATGTAAGCCAATTTCGCTGGAACCATAAAAAGCAAGGAAAACTTGTTTTTGGTCATGTTGATGGCAGTATAACTGTTATAAATCCTGGCCAGAAACCTTTCAAGCATTATTTAAGACCCGAGACTGTTGAAGATCAGGATGAAGAGGACCCTGTGACGAGTCTTGAATGGGACCCGCTATCAGTGGATTACTTGTTAGTTTCCAATGCCTATCAAGGAACAAGACTGATTGATACTGACTCCATGACGGTGATCATGAATTTTAAATTACCAAGTTCAGCAACAAAAATTCACACTTTGGCTTGGGTTCCCTCAGCACCCGGGATATTTGTGACAGGAGGTAGATATAATATCATGAGTTTATGTAATCATACTTACATTGTTTTGACTGAACAGTTTTGCAGTACAGGAAACGTAGTGGGCCTACTGTAGACATGTTTAGGATTGAATTAGCATGTCTATAAAAGCCCCTCTCATTCCACCCCACCATCAGCGACAGTTCATTAGAAAGAGTTCCTTGTGGCAGTAAGCAATGAAAGGTGGTTCTATTTATAGCCTAGGAAAAAAATTAGCAATGTGGTGATCATCAAGAGAGAATTATATAAGTGTTAATGAACTATAACCCTAACCCTAACCTCATTCGTAACGCTACACTGACTCATAACTTGACTCATAACTCAGTGACTCATAAAAGCTGTTAAACAAGCTTTCTTTTGATGGTGGTAGATGAAAGTTTCCGCTATACATGCATACATCAGACAAATATATTGAAAATTAAAAAAAATGACAAGTAATTACAGCTGGGCTGTGCCCTAGCATTATGGAGTAATAGTTTTGAGCTCCCTACAATTTTTCTCTAAAGCACAGCTCAGCTTTGAACCTAGTCAAATATAAAGTACTCTCTATCCTGAAGATCATTTTGTTATTGATTAATAGACCAAACGTGGGAAGGACCTATGGAGAGTGTGCCAGGAAGTTCAATGAACATTAATTTCTTATCATTTATTTCAGACTCCCAAGCTGGAATTTTGCGCATATGGAATGTGTCAAAAAGCACCTCTATGACAAACATTAAGCTTAAAATGACTGGTTTTCATGCACTTATTGTAGTGGAACCATCACAGAGCATATCACCAACCAATAATAATGATCATAGCTTTGTTGGATTGTCTTCAACTTCTGCTGCAAGTGAAGCTCCATCTTCACCCAATCAAATTGCATATGCTCTGCCTCCTGCCAGAATTCTTTGCACATTTCTTGATGGTGGTGTTGGATTGTATGATTTAGGGAAAAGGAAATGGAGCTTCCTTCGTGATATGGTGAGTCTAGTTTCTGTATCCCTTAGAATTAGATCAAATGCCTAAGGGTGATTGTTGTGTTACTAGTTAAGTGATACATTTCTTGATCTGATTTAGCAATAATTAATGTCTGTATGCCTTGTTATCCCTTATTAATTTGATCTATGTTGAATTTTGTTAGGGTCATATTGAGACAATATTTGACTGCAAGTTTAAACCTGAAAATCCAGATTTGTTGGCTACAGCATCATTTGATGGAACAATAAAGGTCTGGGATGTCAACACCATGACTGCAGTAAGTATTTGAACTCACTCAGTCTCAGGCCTTGTTTTCTACAATTATGAGGTTTTCTTACTGTACTCACCAATGACTGTGTTTTTTTTGCTTTACAGGTACATTCTTCTCCTGGAAATGAAGGAATAATTTATGCCCTTTCCTGGGCTCCTGGTAAGACTTTGTAAGGCATTATAGTTTAATTCTTAAATTATGTAATCAATTTAAAAAAAAAAGATTATAAGTACTGTTATTTATTATAATGAATTATTGTGATAAGCATTACACTTGTAGGGTTAATCTAAGGTCTTACAGTAGTGCTAAAATCAGTAAAGTATCAGCTCCCCCAAAGTATGATTGATTACATTTGAATTTGAAATTAGGTCATGTGACCCTTCCGAGAATCCCCCAAAAATGGTCACCTGACTTTGTCCTTTTGCAAACGCAATAACAACGGTTTGTAGCTCAAATCCTCTAACATTGCTAGAATAGAACTCTGTTAACCCTCTAAGTCCCAATGGTGATCAACATCAATTTTCTCTTAACCATATTTCAAAGATTGTCAAGAGATTAGGTTATGAGAATTAATAAATTGATCACCTAAGCAGCGTGCAAAGAAAGTGGTGTCTGATAGCCTGGGGCTAGTGGATTTTGCTATCGGGCTAGTGAATCTTGTTGTTAACTTGCCCGACGAGCAAGTGATCTTTCTTGAGGAATTCAAATAATAGAAGAACTGTGAGATCAATTCTGCTCTTCAAAAAGCTTTTGGGGCTAGTTGAAATGATGTCTGGGCTAGTAAATATTATCTTCAGATAGCCCGAATGGCAAGCTGTAAAAATGATTTTCTTTGCACCCTGACCTAAGAGAAAATGCTTCGATCTTGTATCAAATTCTCTCAACACATTCTTTAAGGAAATGTATGGAGTTCAGTTTGGAGAATTCATATGTGGATATTGGGGCTTAAAGAGTTAAATCTCTCTGCCAGCTCCACCTGTTCAGGGTCCCCACATAGCCAGTATGATCCATGGTTTTGTAAGATTATAATGACTCGTTGAACAATACTTACTTTTTACTTTTTGTGCTGTTGTTGTTGTTGTCATTTGTAGTTATTGCATATTGTTTGCTAATAAAATTGTGTAAAAATAATAATAAAAAGATTGTAATGGCTAACTTTCTGTGTAAATTTTCAAATGCAGCATTTAACTTAAAAACTGTTTTATAGGAGATGTGAATTGCATTTGTGGAGCAACAGCAAAAAATGGTGTCTTTATCTGGGATATAAACAAAGGGAAAATAATCAAGAGGTTTACTGAGGTAAGTTAACCCAAAAATTGTTACCACAGATAGCAAAGTTGAGTTTGCAGAATATTGATGCATCCATGTAATGTTACAGGTAATTAGCTTGCTGTTAATTTTTTTTTCAATAGCATGGTAAACATAACATTTACAATGTGAGCTGGAATCACAAGGATTCGCGAAGGATAGCATCCTGTAGTTCTGACAAATCATGGTGAGCCATATTTACTGGGCATTTGATAGAAAGGTTTTTTTGGTGGTAAGTCAAATCGGAGAAGTAGTCAATAATTATAAGTTGTGTTCTGCAAAATGTTAATTTTCACTTTTAAGTGAAACAACTGAAAAGTGACTTCACGTAAAGTTCATTTTTTTCTGCTTAGTTACTGCAATTCGAGTTGTAAATAAAATAAAAAAATACCTTATTTTTTGAACTCGATATGCTATTCGAGGTAATAGTACAGTATAAATTATGATTACATCACACTGTAAATAATGTTCACTTTTTAGTGTTGTGCGACATGTTGATGGCACTTTGGTCAAGAGATATAAGCACCCTGGATCAGTTTATGGCTGTGACTGGAGTTTGAACAACAGGTAAAGATGCAAATATATTTCACAAAACGAATTAATAATATATAGTTATCAGTATCAAACTTGATGCTTTTATCTGATTTCAGGGACATGATTGCGACAGGCTGTGAAGATAAATGTGTCAGAGTGTTTTATGTGGCTGCAAGCACTGATCTTCCTTTAAAGATCTTCTCTGGTATGCATATTTTTTAATTTGCCAAAACTAAACTGAATTTAAATAAAGTAAAGAAGCATGTAGAGATGATATACTGTAATCCTTGGGGAGATATTTCATATTGAGGCATATCTTGCTTGTCCTTGAATTCATTGATACATATTAATCATTATCAAATATAAATTGGGTGATTATTAGTTTCCCTTTCAGCCAAGTTAATTCATAAGAATGGCAAAAGTTTTTAACTACTCTGTACTGGTCAGGCAGTGAAAAAAAAATCTAAAAATATGTTTTTGTACAGAGAAAGTTATATTTTGTTGTTCTATTGTTGATTTGGAGGTTCATTTCCTTAGGTCACACGGCAAAGATTTTTCATGTGAAATGGAGTCCCATACGTGAAGCTATTCTCTGCAGCGGGTCAGATGATGGGTAATAAACTTTGTTTTCTTATTTCTAACTTTCATTGTGGGCTGTTAAATTTCTAGTATCAATTTGTAAGCACTGTCCATAGTATTGTCTTTATGTAATCTGTTTTATGTCTGTAAGCACTGTAAGTACTTGTTCTTGTAAAGATTGCAATAAAACAGTAATTATTAAATAATAAAATCAATTGCACCTCACCTGGCCTGTACTTCGTGATGTTCAGATATTTGTGACTTTTAGTGAATATTAAAGCAGTTTTGATTTGTAGAACATTGGTAAGCAAATAGTGACTTACAGGTAGCCTTAACAAGCTGTAGTAATTTATTTATTCATTTTCTTGTTTTGAGCAGCACCATAAAAATCTGGGATTATACTGAGGTAAGACACTAATACTGTCTTCAACATAATTTGTATTTTTAGCTAAACGAAAAAGTTAGATTGCCAAAAAATTCTCCTACCTTGATACAATGAGGCTGCCTCATATTTGCACAGTGTTGAGTAGGAGACAAAAAGCATAAGTTTTCACAGAAAGTAACCAGAGCTGGTTCTAAACTGTATAGAGAGCACAGAATACTTAATTTCTTTGATTATTGTAACACTTTACATTTGAATTGGATTGACATTGCTCCCATTTTCTCCATAGGACTCCTGCATTAACACGCTTCAAGGACACAAAGCCCCTGTTAGAGGTCTACTCTGGAGTCCAGAGATCCCATACCTGTTGATATCTGGAAGCTGGGATCATGCGATTAGAATATGGGATACAAGGTACTGGACATAATTCTTTCTGTATGCAAAAGAAGGTCAACTTGGAAAGTTCGTTGGACTTTGATTCCCTTACAAAGGAATTAACAAATAGTTATTATATTCTTTATATCTGTATGAAATAACACTTCATTTCATATTTTTAAGAGATGGATCTTGCTTAGAAACCGTGTTGGATCATGGAGCAGATGTGTACGGTATGTAGCCATACTTTCATCACCCACAGGCCAAAGTTACTTATAGGGGGTCTATAGAGGGAGCGTGTGAATCAACGAACTGAGATTATTTTCCTTGTCCAATGCCACGGCCTTCATTCATATAAAGCTCCACCAATGCTTACCTCATCTCTAGAAACTTTTTTATTGTTCTAAGAGGATTTTTTCCAAACAAGTTCGCAGAGAAGATAACAATTTTCAATGAATTCTTCATTTCGCTTCATGCTAGCCACAGCCTTCCGAGATACGCCTTATGTTGTCTAATTTCTGAATTTCTTTTGCGTATTCTCTACTCCGCCATGGAGGTCACCTTGTTGCAACAGCTTGGCTGAATAAATCTTTGTGAACCTGCGTTGTATATGTTTTTATTTCTTACCATAACAGGTTTTTTTTGTAACCTACTGTACATTTTGTTAATTGTAGGTCTGACTTGTCATAGATTCAGACCGTTCACTGTAGCATCATGTTCACGTGACTCAACTGTCCGGATCTGGTCTTTGTCGCATTTGGCCTGCTCCTTACAGATTGACGTCCTGGCCAAAAAACCTTTGGAAGAGATCGTAACACCCAATACAGGTATGGTATCTGCACAGATATCAGAGATTTTGTGTGTTTGAAGAAAAGTAATTTCATGGCAAAAAAAATTATTCAGGGACTCAAAAGTTTTAATTGATGACGTTTTGCCTCTTGTAAAAACAACTTAACAGTTTTGAAAACTGGCCACAGATATAAATCGCTACGGTCACAATCTTTAATCGAAGAACATCACATCCCTCGAAGCTTATTAAACGAGCATAAATAAATGAATAAAGAACTAAATAAAAGGTTGTTTAACGTAGAAGAGTTTAACGGACGTTTTTGGTTTCTATAGAAACGGCCATGTCAAGTGGAGGTCCCCCGCTGTTAAATGGACGAGTCTCTCGTGAACTGAAAGCCACTGTTGCGACTAAAGGCGACAAGTCTCATATGTCAGCAATCAAACTTCTTTCGGATTTCTTTACGGTAATTCCAGCTGCAATTTCTTTCTCGTTAATATTGCTACCCTGTCTTGTGCCTTTGCATGAGACGAATGCTGTTCTTTATTACATGAAACTCTTAAAGTTGTGGGTCCGTGGCATTGATTAAAAAAAAGCAAATGCCGATTTCCGTTACTTAAAGAGAATACTCCTCCTACAAAGACTCTTGCGCCAGGAAATTTCTCTCGGGAAATGAGAAGTTTTTTTAACAAAATAAGAAAGGATTTTCGTAACTTTTTAACTTTTTAACTTAATGTACTTTTTGTCAGCTGTTTGCTGGAGTAATGTTACAACAGAAACTGCTATTGGAATTTCTGCAGTTTGAAAAATAGTCTTCAACGTCACTTGACAGTTTTACTCACTCCCCTCTTTAATATTTGTTAGCTGCCAAGAAAGAGGAAAACCTCCCTGCTTTATAACCTGCCTGATGTTCGTTCAGTAGAAATGAATATTTTTCCTGTGTTTTTTCTTTCAATTTTTTATTCCTCAGCCTCCTTGTGGAGGGCGGAACTTGTGGGACTTGGTATTAGTATTGTGCGATGGTGAAGAAAGTACATTACCAGCATCTTACAGCAAAGGAATTATTCACAGCAAACATCTAATCAAGTATAAAGCAGTGAGTATGCTACTGCTGTTAGTTCAAGCTCAGGTTTTTCATCATTAACTCGCTTTCTCACGTTTCTTTGTTCATATTACAGATGATACTTAGAAACCGTGTTGGATCATGGAGCAGATGTGTACGGTATGTAGCCATACTTTCATCACCCACAGGCCAAAGTTACTTATAGGGGGTCTATAGAGGGAGCGTGTGAATCAACGAACTGAGATTATTTTCCTCGTCCAATGCCACGCCCTTCATTCATATAAAGCTCCACCAATGCTTACCTCATCTCTAGAAACTTTTTTATTGTTCTAAGAGGATTTTTTCCAAACAAGTTCGCCGAGAAGATAATAATTTTTAATGAATTCTTCATTTTGCTTCATGCTAGCCACAGCCTTCCGAGATACGCATTATGTTGTCTTGTTTCTGAATTTCTTTTGCGTATTCTCTACTCCGGCTTAGAGGTCACCTTGTTGCAGCAGCTTGGCTGGATAAATCTTTGTGAACCTGCGTTCTATATATATATATATATATTGTTTACCATAACAGGTTTTTTAGTAACTTACTATACATTTTGTTAATTGTAGGCCTTACTTGTCATAGATTCAGGCCGTTCACTGTAGCATCTTGTTCGCGTGACTCAACTGTCCGGATCTGGTCTTTGTCGCATTTGGCCTGCTCCTTACAGATTGACGTCCTGGCCAAAAAACCTTTGGAAGAGATCGTCACACCCAATACTGGTATGGTATCTGCACAGATATCAGAGATTTTGTGTGTTTGAAGAAAAGTAATTTCGTTGCAAAACAAAATTACTTAGGAACTCGCAAATTTTAATTGACGACGTTTTGCCTCTTGTAAAAACGACTCAACAGTTTTGAAAACTGACTACGGATATAAATCGCTTCGGTCACAATCTTTAATCGAAGAACATCACTTCCCTCGAAGCTTATTAAACGAGCATAAATAAATGATTAAATAACTAAATAAAACGTTGTGTAAGGTAGAAGAATTTAACGGACGTTTTTGGTTTCCATAGAAACGGCCATGTCCAGTGGAGGTCCGCCGCTGTTAAATGGACGAGTCTCTCGTGAATTGAAAGCGACTGTTGCGACTAAAGGCGACAAGTCTCATATGTCAGCAATCAAACTTCTTTCGGATTTCTTTACGGTAATTCCAGCTGCAATTTCTTTCTCGTTAATATTGCTACCCTGTCTTGTGCCTTTGCATGAGAAGAATGCTGTTCTTTATTACATGAAACTCCTAAAGTTGTGGGTCCGTTGCTTTACTTAAAGAGAATACTCCTCCTTCAAAGACTCTTGCGCCAGGAAATTTCTCTCGCGAAATGAGTTTTTTTTTTAACAAAATAAGAAAGGGTTTTCGTAACTTTTTAACTTACTGTATGTACTTTTTGTCAGCTGTTTGCTGGAGTAATGTTACAACAGAGGATGCTATTGGAATTTCTGTAGTTTGAAAATTAGTCTTCAACGTCACTTGACAGTTTTATTCACTCCCCTCTTTAACATTTGCTAGCTGCCAAGAAAGACGAAAACCTCCCTGCTTTATAACCTGCCTGATGTTCGTTCAGTAGAAATGAATATTGTTCCTTTTTTGTCTTTCAATTTTTTATTCCTCAGCCTCCTTGTGGAGGGCGGAACTTGTGGGACTTGGTATTAGTATTGTGCGATGGTGAAGAAAGTTCGTTACCAGCATCTTACAGTAAAGGAATTATTCACAGCAAACATCTAATCAAGTATAAAGCAGTGAGTATGCTACTGCTGTTAGTTCAAGCTCAGGTTTTTCATCATTAACTCGCTTTCTCACGTTTCTTTGTTCATATTACAGATGATACTGATCACTCTTTAGGTCGCTTTCTTTGTTTGATCAACTCGAAAAAGGGCGACAAACTTGTGCATGTAATAGACATACTCAAAACCGTGCTGACAGAGAGAAGCTTTCAGTGACTAACTTTATTGTGTTTTTAAGTCCGAAGCACAGGAATTAGAAACAGTACGAACAAGCAGAGCAGGAAGGATGATGGCCAAGAGGGAAGACAGAATAAGAGAAGCTGCCAGTTTGCAAGTCAAGATCGGTCAGCTGCAAAGATACTGTGAACTTATGGTTGAACTGGGCGAGGTAAACCTTAGGACACTTAAGCGCTCCCTACATCGTACGAGAGACAAAAAACGAAAAGCGATCTGTTTTATGCTTGAAAACCTGGCTGTATACTTTTTGAGGATTTACTTGTCCAAAGGATAAGCAAGGTTGATGACCTACTTGTCCACTGATCAAAACCACTTGTCTGGGGCAAGTGGACACCGTTTTGGTCGCACCCTGAAACGATCATCATGAATGTATTATCTTATCATCAGCATTGTCGAGTTCACCGTCGCTGTCGTCTTCAATACCATTACCTCTGTCTTTTGCAGACAATTATTTCACCCTGGCCGTCTGTATAGACTCTTTTTCTCAGTACTCTTTATTATAGACTGCAAAACAGTCGGGGTTTTTCTCAAAATCAGTAAAGAAATCGTTAAAGCGTGGCGTAAGAGTCTTACGCGCGCGTAGCAAAAAAAAAACGGATTCTTAGCGTCTCTCCCCAGTCTCGCTCTCTGTTTTCAGCGTCGTTCCAGACCTTTTGTTTGACTGCTCGCGCGTAGGTACTTGAATACCCAAAAATACGGACTGTTTTGCAGTCTATCTTTATTATTTGTTTACTCGATAGTGGGACAGGGCTTTGGCAATGGCGCCAGGGGTGTCGATGGATTACTGGAGAGAGCTGACGGAAAGGTGCGGAAACAATTCTCAAATTCCTTTTTTTGGTCATCTTTTCAAGCTTTAATGCCTTGATTATTGGTAAAGTAGACTAGAGCGGTTTTCATTTGAGTGTCGAAAAGTAATTGGTTTTGCACTTTCTACACGATGCGATTGGCTTAAAAGATTGGCGCCACCTTTTCATCCAATCAGAAGTAAAACCAAAGCCAATTGTGACGCGCTCGCATGCATTTTCCCGCGCTTTGCGTCAGCCACATGTAATTACTTCGAGTTTTGATTGGTTCAATGTATTGTCTGTGTCCTATGTGATTGGCCAGAGTAATTACTGTGGTTTTGGTTTTACGACACTCAAACGAAAACCACTCTAAACGGTAACTCAGTCTGCCTAACCCTTTCGTGGAAGCAAGTCCATCTGAGTTCCTTTCACTTTTGCCGTTAGTAATATAGTATTTCGTTGGGATGTAGCCACGCAAAAAGTATGCATCACTAGAATTCGCCACTTAAGCAACCAGGGGCCGAGTTAACGTTCGCAAAGACTTCTGGGACTGTTACTAGGCAGAGGGGAAAAATTGGCCAACAGCTGACCGGCGCGTCCCCAGCAACCATCCCAGAAACAACTGCGCGGCACATTTCGGCTACAGTCGCCTTCTCTTTTCTAAAGTTCCAAAAAAAAGCAAGTTGAATTTTTAATGCGAACATCTGTGATGCAAATCTAAGCGTTTTTGCTTGTGTCTTCGTTAACTACATTAGTATGGCTATGCTGAGTTAATCCCTGTTTGTCCGCTTTTGAACTTTGTCGTAGACGCACTGCTCAGCTCATGAGGGAGGATAATGATGCAGCTGTTCCTTACTGCGCTGCTTTGGGAGATGCAAACAAGGTACCGGCCATCACACAATGACTTGATTGACTTTTTCTCACATTTTGTTTTCTTTATTCATTTTTATTCTTTTTCTCGGACTTTCTGCATATGAATTCACTTCTTCACTTTAGAAGGTTCTCATTTTACAACTCGAAAAACAACAACAGCACCAACAAACAAACAAAGAAACAAAAACCCAGTTAATCCAGCAGAATAACGTTTCATTAGCGATACGATATCCTAGCTCAAGTTTTGCTCGTTCTTTTCATTTCCAGTTGGTTTCATTCTTTACATCACGTGGCCAGCTTCATGACGCACTATTGGTTGCTCAGGTGGCGTGTGAGGGAGGTATTTCATTACCGCCGAAGAAAGAAACGACACCTCTGGATCTTAAGAAAAACGACATTTTACCCTCGCTGACAAACTTTATGACCGATGAGAACAAAGGGTGAGCAATTGTAATGCAGTGATGTTTTAGTGCTGGAAGCAAGGCTTCTTTCATGCCGCAAATAACAGTTTTCTAACCCAGTTGAAAAATCGGTGGTGTTTAGTTGCCGCATAAACGATTTCGTAAGTGAAATATCTGCAAGCGACGATTCCTTAGTGATGGTTGCAACGTTACTCTTCTTGTCGTTCAGGTCGACTTTTGAAGTTTTTTTAGTAAGGGAAACGGGAGACTCGAAAATCAAAAATCCAAGTTTTCCCAACAGAAGTAGAACCAATAACGTACACAAGAGACGTTATTACAGATCCTTTAAGCTCGCCCTAAAGCCCGCCTGAGAGATCCTAGTAACTCCTGTGGATGCTAGTCCGGATGCCTTACCACTGAACTATTAGAAATTCATGGGACAATACTGGGAATTCATCGTTTGTTGCTACATTTTGTAGGCTGCTTCAGTCCACGAGCACAGCATTAGCAGACTGGTATTTCTACAGTGGGCAGCCTGTGTTGGCTGCTTGTTGTCATCTGGCTGTTGGTGATGTCAAGGTTAGAGCTCATGAAAGATTTTATGTAAATTGCCTTATTGTGTAGTCTTATCATGAAACCTTACTAAGTACTATGAGTTGAAGCCACAACTCTCCATGGGTAGTTTTCGCTATACCGGCCTTTCCACAACTTTTTGTTCTTTCAAAACTCTAGCAAACACGTTTTCACTTTTCCAAAACTCTTAAGTCTCTATCCGCCTGTAACCTCTCCCCCAAGAACTGAATTAACTGGATTAACAAAAGTAGGGCCCACATGAGAAAAAGCGATTTCCTTGTTTAGAAGTAAAGTCATTCTTTTCAGTTGGATTTGATTTGTTACTTTAAGATGTATCTTTGTGGAATACATTACCACCAACGTGTATTTCTTATCCTTAACAATTATAATTCTTTATAACTTAAATTCTCTAATAATTCTAAAATGTTATTTTGCATTATTAAGATTAATTATTTGCACATTTTATTCAACAGTTACTTGAAAATGTCACAGATATGACCCCAGGGGCGGATCCAGGGGAGGAGCCCGGGGGGGGGGGGCTGGGGCCCCTTATTTTTGGACCAAACTAAGGCCCAAAGTGCCGAAAAAATTTTTTTGAGACCGCCCCCCTATTGTCAGGGTCTAGATGACCCCCCCCCCCCCACCTGATCTTAAAGTCTGGATCCCGCCCCTGGACCCGGCTACCAAATATAGACATGTTTATGTTCTTGTATGTTGACGTCATTAGCATGATGCCCTGTTTGTTTTCAGTTTGCGTTATCCAAGCTCATTCGAGGCAACGAGCTTGAACTCGCTGTCAGCATAGGAATGGTACTAAATGATGACAGCCAAATGCATCACTTAGCTGTGGAATTTTTGGCAAGAAAATGTGAAAGATTGGGCAAATGGTAAGAGCTTTAATCATCTACACCGTTTTATACGTTAAAAGCAGAATGTATTTGTCGTTGCTGTTCCGACCTCTTGCCAGTTCGGTGACTGAGATGCTATTTTTGTCTCTATTTATTTTAGGGACTCTTGTATTGCCTTACTGAAGTTATTACCATCCAGCGGAAACTACCTGGTCAAGTCATGCGCGAGATGCCAGGGAACAGTTACGGAATTAAACGAATTGCACGAAAAGGTAGCGTAACCTCGCTACTGTTACAGTTGGCATATTTCAATGCATCAGCATGCAAACACTGCCACAGAAAAGAACTAGTCACTCGGAGTTTCAGCCTCCAGAGTATCGAACATATGCAACATCAAACAAATAAACAAACAAACTTTCAATGATCCCAGTTCAAGATTTCATATTTGAACTCAAAAGGTAGAACCCGCACTTTGCACAGCTACGCAGATAGATACTGCTCAGTAGCCTTGATATTTTGATGGTAATACTTTGGATCTTATCCTCTTAACGGCTGCAGCGAGACAAATATATGGGCTTATGATAAAAACTAATACTGAATCTCTTACGGTGGTGATGCGGTCAGTATCAACTTCATAAGTGATGTAGTGTAACTTTCTTTTGTTTTTGTGTGATCACTTATCAGGCGGGGTTACCAAGTGTGGAGGAATGTTTACAGAAAGCAGAACAGTTTTGTGATGAGAACAAATTCCTGGAAGCCATGAAGTATTACCTTGTTTCTTCTTCACCTGAGTTAGCGCTTGATATCGGCCTGAATCTTGTGCGAGGTAAGATTGCCGGCGGTCCTAGGTTCGAGATTCGCTTCCGCCAACAACAGTATTCTCGGTCGTTCCTGGTTCAAATCTTGACCCATGTTTGTTATTTGCTATCTGGTTGCCTCTTGTCAGTTTGGGTTGTTCTGTTTGCATGATTTCTTTGTTATTGCCTGATAGGGAGTTTACCACAGGGTAAGAACTTTGTTTTGCACCGTATGTTTTTCTAGGCTCTTTTGTGCTGACTTCTTTTTTTCATTGTTTTTACGTCATCCTTAGAAGTTTAACAGGTTCTTACACCGAGGATGAGCTCTGATAGGAGTGCCTGAAAACTAGTTAGAGCAGCGAGGTTAGACTTGCCTACAAGTCGAGATCAAAATTTTTCCCGAGCGCAAAGCGAAGCGGGCCTACTACCGTAACCGGAAATGAAAAGCGTAGGAATTTGGGAAAGTCTACAGCGAAACGTACTTCCACCGTAAACAAAGCATTTACCATTTATCGGCGTTATATTTTCTTCGAACTTTGCCATATCTATTTTTAATGTAAAGGTTTCCCGGTATGTAAGTAATCTTTTTACTTGTTTTAGATGCCATGAGAAAACCCTATTGGGTGCTGGATGAAATACTAGGTGTGGTCCAATTAATGTCGTGTATTAGGACAGACCGCTTACAGCAAAACAGGATTTCCAAGTAAGACATTTTTAGCGGAAAATACATTACTGGTATTTACACGGAACTAGCCCAGTTGTACTGTTTTATCGTAAACACGACTTGACATCCAGACCTTTCGTCTCACAAATGCCCGCATTTCTCACTAACAGTTAAAAAAAAGGCTGTGGATCATTGATGTCTGCGGTAATGCAACCTTCCCTCAAAGATCATGTTGTTTATATCCAAGATTGCCATGAAAGTAAAGAGACTTTTTGGATGGGTATCCTTTTAATTCAGTGTGACCATTCATCCACCCAGCTTGATAGCTGACTTCATGCGTTTTTTTAAAGAAGGAAACAAAACAAAACAAAACTGTGTTTAAAAAAAAAAACACCCAGTAGGACTGGAGGATCTTGTCTTTGATTCTATTGGTATCACCTTGAATATCTACACTGAAGGAGCGTTCAAGATAATTTTAACCCACGGCGATAATTTTTGTCGTTCCTCCGTATAGGCAAAGACAAGAACTTCTTGCACTGAGTGCATACGTTGGAGCGCTGTTAGCAATAAGGAGAAAGTACGATCCAATCGTCCATCCTCTGTTTAAACACGCTAGGTAAGACTGATATTATTTGAGATTTTATTCCTCTCTTTACTGCTGCCAATTATTTCAATATGACGGTGTCCAACAAGAAAGCCCTTGCTACTTTGGACACCGTACACAAATGAACTTAATATCTTTTAGTTAATTATTATTTGTAGCTACTTTATTTTCCTACTATGTACACTTATGTAAATATCTTCTATAGTGTGAATAAAGAATTGAATTGAATTGAATTGAATTGACTGAATTTAGTTTTCAAGCGCAATTGGTAAACAGTTCCAGCATAATTTGTTCATCGATTTTTGTGTTTAAATGTCAGTTTTCATTAAAAATTCAAAGGGCAATGTTAACTCCTTTTTATCTGACGTTCGTTTTCCAATGAAACCGTGAGTGCTTAGCGAGCTGGTTTCGAAGAGAATCAAGGCTGGCAATGACCTTGCTTTGACTCAACCGTCACTGTCTTCGTATATCGAAGTGGATTTCGCTTTCCATTCTAACGCTTATTAACAGTTTGCACATTTTTATTTCTGTGCGCAAAGTAGCACGACGCCCAAAGCAGTTCCTCTGACCACTGTCCTAAAAGCCTCTGTTTTGTTACCCTGCGAGCAGTTAATTGAGAGCTTTTGATTTGAGGACGAGATCGAGTATGAGATTTAACTTAAAGTTTTTGCGCGTATTCTCAAAAAAAAAAACTGCCGGACAGCTTCATTTTACTTTATTTCACCAAAAAATGTCATTATTAGTACGGTTATTTATACTCCGCCGATAGCAAAATGATAAAATTCCGAACATTTGATAACTTGTTTTGGCCACTAAGACATTCTCGTTAAAACTCGTAGAAGAATGACGATGGCTGTCACATTTTCCCGCCAAAATGACGTTGGTTCGCGCACGCGCACCACTTAGTATTGAGAAAATCTCGTTCTCATAGTTCTCATCTTTGAATCTAAAGCTCTCTAATACGCTACTTGGGACGGCTTCGCAAATGCTAACAGCCATCCTGGAAAGAAACCTCTGCCCACAGGGCATTTTTTTGTTGGTTAGAACTGAAAACCATATTGTCAAATTCATTTGATTTCTTTCTGTTCAAGGCAACTGTTTCACACGGACAAAGTGGACTTGGCGGTCACAACTTCTCAACTTGAAATGGAATCCGAAGCCTGGCTCGCATACAAACAACCTCTCAAGTGAGTAGCCAGTCTCCACTGAATTCTCTTAAAAGATTCATTGTTCCTGGTTTGTATATTGCAGAGTCACAGGACACCTACATTACAGGAGGGTGACCCTGTGTTGTAGTATAAAGCAGGTATCAGTATTGCGCTACCCTCCTCCCTACACCTGGATGGTAGGCTAGTCGATCGCAGAGGCACCTCTGGTATATTTTCTGATTCGCTGTCTGATATTCTTTATTTCCAGTCCGTCGGTGACGCCTTCTCAAGAACAGAAAGCCGTGTGGGACTCTCTGCTAAATCGAGTTGGTAAGATACGTTCTCTGTCGAAAAAAAAAAGAAAGTTTAGGATTGTTATCTTTGATTTGTGGCGGACTGGAGAGGATTAAGAATTATTTGTCGACACTTTAAGGCCGCTATGGACGCTTTATGTTCTTGACCGTGCACTGACCACTCTTGCTTGTTTTAAGGAAGAACGATTCGACTTTTTTTTTCAATTTCTGCTTCCTCCAGGGAAAGAGCCATCGATATACTTGACGGGTGTGGATATGGTTACAGGTTCTTTGCTTCCCAGCCATTCTGATGTTCAATTGTCTTGCCTCACAGGAGAGCGAATCAAGGTATAAATAATTAGACGTACCAGTAGTTACTTCCGTTGAATCTGGTGCTTGCATATACTGAGTGTAATAAAGCTTGACAATAGATGAAAGGGGTGGTGGGGGGTGAGGGTGTTGTTGCACAATTTCTTGCGTCCAGGGCTCTTGTTAAAGGCTGTCGAGTAAATAATATAAAAACAAGAAAGACTGAGAAAAATAAAGACTGTTGTCACTTTGTCATTTATATGTTTCTTCCTTTTTCAGGGCCAGGCGTTTTTTTTGAATGACGGACGCTCTGTAATGTCATTAAACAATGCACTGATGTGGGCCAAGGTAAACGCCTTTTCACTAGTAGGTGCTGGAGTGCGTCTTGAGCCCTTCTGAAGAATGAACTATGACGGCAGTATCGTGACAGATGTCATGAAAGACGTCACGGCTTCTGTCACGATAGTGTCGCGGAACTACTGCGATAAATCAATAGACGAATCCTTTCATTGTTAGTGTCTCGAGGGATGTAATGACTACTGCAACAAAACGTGCCTGGGATGTAGTTGTTACCCCGATCTCAGAAGAACTGCCACCTTATCCCCATGGCAGCGTTACGACAGCTTCATAAGATGGCTAGAGTAGACTAGATAAGTGCGCATGTAAGCTCAAGATATACTAGAAATACGTTGATTGCAAAACCTTGTTAAAGGAGGCGTGGCTCTAATGATGGAACTTCGGCTTCCCGCCCCCTCCCGTCTTTTGTCAGATATCTGATCCACTAGATATACGATAGCCTGCGTAGCATGGCGGTTTTGGTTGGGCGCGCTAAGTAATAAAGGCGGGTGAGGGCAGAGAAGCCGCGAGGAGACTGGGGCGGGAGCAAGCGAATTTCGCGGCTTCGCCGCTCTTGTGCCTGGCTCGACAAAACCGCCATGCTACGCAGGCTAGATATACGAGGGCTGAAGATCAGATCTTATCTTGGGACAAGACTTAGGCGTTTTGTTGAATATTTAAGTGAACTTCCCTCTGAGTATATCAGGAGGAATATTGTGATCCAAACGTAATTTCTCCTGTGGAGAATTAAGAAATTCGTGCCGGTTTGAAGCAAGAAGAATTTAAAGCTGGTCTTTAAATTAACACTATACAGTAGATGATAGGATTTCAAATACTGTAAAGTTGGTTTGTATTAGGCGTTTTATAACCAGCCCGATGCCTGTTTTGACTTTTGTTTTGTTCTTGCGTAATTGTGCCATTCTTACAAATTCATCCGTGTGTTGAAAAAATTCAGTCACTTTCCCCCATACGTACGTGAGATTATCACAAACGATGTATCATTTTTGAGTAGTTGTTTAAAGGAAAACTAAAATCAGTCTGGGGGATTGCAGAAGTTACAAATAGTTCAGTGATTGGTTGATAAACTGGCACGTGATTTTGTCTTTATGCAATCACCTAGCAGTACTAAAACAAGTGGAATTTTGAAACTACTTACGACAATCAAGAAAAAAAAAACGCTCTGATGTATTGGCTTATTAAAAAGATTTACTCAAACTACATTTTTTTATAGAATATCTGTGATTAAAACGCCAAACGTAGACCACAGATGTCTGCCTTAGCAGTATACTTTACTGACTGATTTTCTGGTGATATAAGTTGGCGCGTCTAATTTTCGCCAAAATATTGTTTTTACATTATATAAACAACATTGGGATATTATTAGGTAGGCTTATTTATTGTCCTGCTAAGAACGGAGTAGTTGTTATCGACATTCTCTTAGCTTGAGATATATTTAATGGACATAGTTTGCTTTTTCGGCAAAGCTATTTTTATTGAGTGAAAGTGTGCACAATTCACTGATTGTAAAACTTCTGATTAGTTTACAAAGTGGCGCTCTAAAAATAACTTCGTATTGTCGGTAAACAATAGAAAATACAAATGACTCTAGCAAGTCAATTGAATACCACTCTACAATTATTTTTTTGGTATGCAGATTCCTGTTAATAGAACTGATAGGTCACACTAGGTTATTAATAGTATTCGCGCATTCGAATTCAATATCTTTCTAAATTGTTTCTTTAGTTACGTTATTACACAATGTTACATCTAGATAGCACAGATCAGAAAGTACCGTGAACATGAAGCTTTCTCGGTTTGGTCTGGCATGAAAACCTTTTTAGATATTTTTATGTGTAAAGTGTTTGTGAAAATTAAAAGTACAGTAAAGAGATTGTTTTGTGCACGTATAAATTCTTCAGGTTTTGTTCACAGTATTATGCTGCTGAAGACTGTGGAAAAAGGCAATTTTGTTTACTTATCGACTCCAGTTTTCGTATGGGTAATAAGTAGTAGTATATAGGCCCTTGTATTGTATTCCTACACGTACATGCAGACAGAGCATTCATGCAGTGCCAACTTAGCTACATTACTTTACTATTGTTGATCAAACCTGTAAGTTTGTTTCATCATTTCATTTGAAATCAATTTAGCTTGAGATTGCCGATGTAGGTACGCTAGGAAAGCTTTGTGAAAGGTTATTTTGCTTGGAAAACAAGACTCCAGTCCCATATCAATCTATCTGGTTCCATTACCCTTTCAACCAATTCCCGTCGATAAGTACCTTTTTCTTGTGGGAAACTTTCATCTACGTTACAGGGGCCTCCCGTCTTTCCTTAATGCTCAATATACCGCGTGCAGAACTGATCGATGGTCAGTGCTATTTATACCAAAAACTTTATCAAGTGAAAGTAGCTTTTTAATAGTTCTTAAGTAAGTTACATCTTTTCAAAGTTATCACGATAATATTTTTTTCAAAATTTGGCCATGAAAAATTAACTACAGGAACAACTTTTTCTCTCTTGTATTTTGCAACACAGAAAGGAGTATAGATTTTGAGATCGTTCATGACACGTAATGAAACAGGTATTATGTTCTATAGGTTCTTCCAAGGCATAATAACAGATATTGACAAAATGTGTTACAGAACTGCGAGTGTAAAGGTTTGCACGGTTGGTGGCTTGTTGTTTTCTATATAAATCTGACTAATGCTGTTCTAATTATATTTTCAGCTTGTTTTCACCCAATATTTTTAGCTTTTAATCACAAATTAACGCTTCATTGAACTTAATATAGAGATACTTGTGTTAAAGAACCATAAGTGAGCCAAGTGTCAATTGTTAAATTACCACCGATATTCAAACAGCACATTGTTAAGGGACTATTACTTGCTGTTGAAAAGAGTTAACTTCTGCTCTGAAACAATTGAGAAAAAATGTTTGATGTTGAGTTTGATAAAGGAGGCCGAACTGGAGAGATTTCAGTTGAAAAAACTCCGCGCTTTTTGTCACTTGCGTACTTTCTGAGGTTTTGATTGCCTTGCCGTGAAAGGAAACAACTTGGAGACCGGGGCAGAAAATGCAGCTCCCAGTTGAGGTGCGTACAATTTCACTAATTTTTTAATAGACAGATTACACATTGCGGGCGAATTGATAGAGCTTACTTGCTGGCAAGCGATCTGTTACGCCCACCACCCTCACCGGCCACTCATCCTCCTCCCCCACAGCCTCGAGGATCCCCCGGTTCGAGCAGTCAAAGTGCTCTTTGATTCAGCCCATTTGGCTGCAATTGGAAAAATTTTAAAAGGGGTCAAAAAGGATTCTATATATTTGATTGACAAAGTAGAGCCTGTTTTGCCCTTTGCACAAAAATGTATGCACTCCATTGCTTGTCTCCACAAGAGGTTGATAAATTTTCAGAGGTATCTATCTGAGGTTCCTTTATTTAGTCCTCGCGGCAACTTTAATCAGATACAAACTCCAATTACTAATTGTTCCAAGTAAAAATCTTGTTTTACATGCAGTTTCCTTTTCAGCTTTAGGTGACGAATTGCGAGGTCCCTTTCAGCAAGCGCAGGGACACCTACTGTAGGTCTGTTTCTTGTTAGTTCCTTGTCTGACTGGATTCATGAATTACTTTGTTTAGCAATGCTGTCAAAAAAATAATAAAATGAATAACACAACATGAGCGGCAGAGATGGACAATAAACACAAACATGTCTGTGGCTTAGGATAATGTATCACTTGGGTTGTTCTGTCCTATGCATGAGCAAGAACCTGACCGTTCCTGCTTTGTTATTCATGTGTATTACTACATTCCTGTAAACAGTTTAAGCAGGAAAGATAAGCTGAAAATCAGGTGTAATGCCCACTGGAAATTTAGCACGAGCTCAGTGCTTGTGCTCAGGTTTCATGACATTTGGCGCTTAATCGTTCAAAAAAGGCACGTACTTTCCTGCGGACAAACCTTTCCGTGTCGTTTGCCAAGAACAAAACGCGAACCTTCAAGACCGCGATTGCCTTAAGTATCGGTGTCTGACCAGCGATTAAGAGATTTTGTTACTTTGTATGTAACGCTGCATTTTTGCTATGTCGTGGACAAGAGTCAACTAAAACTAACAAAATTCTAAATCTGTAAACATTGCTTGTAATTTCCAGTGTTAAAAATAGGTATTAGCAATGTTTCAGTACAGTTGAACACACTTCTTTGAGACATATTGAATGCCCTGCGCTGCCAAGAATTGCAAAGTCCAATATTAAAACGGAAAATAAATGTTCCAAACGTTGATGTACAGTAACAATGAACTAAAACTACGGTGAGTAAAAAGACAACAACGGCACCGAAAAAGATGACAACTGTACCCAAGTTTTGTACCCAAGTTTTTCCGTACGTTTTGCTACTAAATGTGTTTATTCTAAAGGCAGGACGTACTATATATATCACCTTTTTGTCTGGAACTGATTGAAATCAGGACCAAAGTCTGAGTAACTGAGCTCCAGGTTCACTGTGGCATCTGGAAACCCAACATTAAACTTTTCCAACTTCCCAACCAGACAAAATCAGATAAGTAGAACAAGCTCAGGATGTAATAAAAGCCATTAGAAAACCACAAACTTTAATGAAATTAATGCGCAGTAAACTGCATAAAGACTATATATAGCTAGTACTGCAACTACAACTAAACACAGGCTGAAAAATATCACTATGATTAAAATGGAAATACAGCTGTTTTAAAACAATACACTACTGCTTTTGTCTGGATTCTTTTAAATGAATAGAATACATACCGTATGCATTACCTTTTTAATCGCTCTTATATAATTCAAGCTAGTCTGGCCATTGAATAAATTTTTAACGGCATAAAGTCACGCATCTCCTCGCTCTCACCGTTTTCTTCGTTTTTTTTTGGACGAGAATCAGGAAATAGCTTACAATTCTTTTCTTCTACAAAGCGATTCCCACCCTGGATCGTTTTCCGAATGACAAAAAAAATTTGGATGATAACCTAAATGTTATATGAAGATTTTCCCTGATTAAACCCAGTTGAAAGTGTTTCCTTTGGTTTGAGCTTTTCTAAGCTATAAAATCTGACATTTCAAGGGCTATGAAAAATGTATGGCATCTCGTGTTATAAAGCCAATCATGATCAAAACCCGGAATTGTCAGCCATTGATCCTACATATTCGGCGTCTAAAATCGTCTAAAGGTTGGAAGCGGAAACAAAATCCATCGCGTCGGCGTCAATTCTCTGCGATGATGATGATTATTTTTTTGTCTATTTTTTGTCTTTGTCTGCTTGCATGTGGTATGTTTTCCGAATATGATATCCTATACAGTGGGTCTGTTTTCTCACTCAACTGAACACCAGCCCTAATTTGATAACCAAATGTCAAAGAAGCTGATCTCGCTCTAAGTTCGCATGTCAGTTTTACCCCGGGTTGTAAACGGCTGATTTGGGCAAGAAAAACGTTCATATCCAGGGCGAACTTTTGGCTTCGACAGCTTTCTAACGGCAAACTTTGTTTTGTGATAAAGGACTGAGTAGATACATTTCTGACTGAGTTGACAACCCGGTTGACACAGAATAGGGATCCGGAAGCTGGGTAAATCCACGAAGCGGAAGTCGCTGATTAGCTGTGACGCCGGCCGAAACTGGCCGCGCGATAAATTCTTTTCTTACTTAGAAACGACTTAAAGTTTCTACACGGTCATTTTTATTATTTATTTATTATCGACAACTATATTTAACGTCTGAATTGAACTCATGCAAACTTAACAGCAAGTCATTTTTAGTGACCTCGGTAACTACCCAATATAGTTAATGCCGTTATGTATTTGATAAGAGTCTTCAATTCAAGTTTAGCATTTCCTTTACTCCAATTCACTCCAATCAAAACTTGGGAATATCATAGCCTTGCCAAATAACGTTCCCCTTCCATTATTTTTGGTTTTTCTCCATTGAGCTTCTCGTAAAGCCGCAAAAAATTGCATTAGTTTGCGTGATCAAATTAGCTCCCCGTTAATGTGATTAATTAAAGCTTGCAAATAAGATATCGGCGGCCTTATATCTTGTGAGCGGACTGTACGCACGGCCGCACGCTAAATGCACTGTTGCCAATGTGTCATTTCAATAAACGCCATGTTTATTAAACTCAAGTACCGTTTGACTCTTTGTTCACTGTCCGAAAAAGATCACCATCCTCGCAAATTCATTATTTTACTAGGCATGTTTGCAGTACATGTTCGTTCAAAGGAGTCATAATATATAAAGGTTTATTTATAGGGGATAAATCTCATGCTGTATTGATCTCGAAAAATGGTTTAATTCTACATCAGCTTGAGCAGCAAGTCCGGGAGATATTTTTTTGAATCCAGTCCAATGTAAATGAACCACAAAATTGCTTCGTTGAAAGAGTTTTTTCTATTTATACAAGTCATGCTTGAAATACCTTTTACAGTGTTGCATTGTACACTATCGTGAATAATATATGTGCAATAGATTCTAAAGCAATTTCAATATTTGTTATTGCTTTGTTCAGAGCTCCACAAGCGGTTAGTTTTAATACAATGTCTATGTGATAAAAGCTCTTATATCAGACCTGGATTGAAACAAAAGGTACTTGTTAAAAATTTTAATATTGATTCACTCAACGGTTTGCAAAGGCTGCTCTGAGTTGCTTTCCGCTGAAGAAAGAGAAGGCAATTTCCCTCTAAGTAATTTGATATTTTGAAAACAGCAAAGTAACCCTTTTTGGATTTTTGACTAAAATTATGGGAACAATTAGCACGTCGCGTCAGCGATGGGAAATCGCGATGGCGTTAGATAAACTTCACATGACTTACAAATGTGAATTTTCTTACCCTTGTCTAGTCGTTTTCACTTGCTAAAAAGGATGAAATACTTCAAAATAGCGTTATATGTCTTCTCCTTGTTCCAAAACGAACGACAGGCCTTAAAGTGTTGTAGTTTTGGTCCCGCCCGAATGACAGGTTGACTCAAAAACACTGCAAAGCAGTTTATATTTATAAGCCATCACTTAATAAGTCGGCGCAAATCTAAATCTTTCTCAATGCCCTCATGTGTTACAAGAGCTATTTTTCGATCATGGGTTTTGAACTTAAGAAAAAACGAGCTATTTTCAAGGACTGCAACACGACCTTTTCTCGTAATTGAATACAGCATTCCTTCCCGTTTTTTGCATAAAAAAATGAATACTTTGTCTCTTATTCTGTTTGCATTTCCGCCGCAAATGTACATAAAGATCAGTTGCGTAGGAACAAAGCAATTTACAATTTAGATTTCATGACGGTATGAAAGCTCATTTAGCCAATAGGAATAATCTCATTGACAGCTTTTGTCTTCGATGTAGAGGGTTTGTTAAAGTAATAACAACTTCTAATGGTTGATCAATACACCTTTCAAAATTCTTCCTTCGTCAAGTTATGTCTTTACCTGGATATTTTTGTTGTTGTACCCATCAAAACGAGCGTTTTAAAAATAAAGAAAAAAACCACTACTCCATTATCACGTTTTTAACGGTCCTCTCCCAAAAAGGACAAAAAAGAGGACGTCTTTATGAGCCAGAAATTTAAGAAATTCTCAGTTGGAGATTACAATAATTACTAAATAATGAGGCTGTTTCCTTTCTAACAGTCGTTTACTGCAAGAAAAGAGAAATCCTAGAAAGCCAGTCAAGTGTTGAAATAACAAAGCTACGGATTGATCACGTGATGTGGTGTGCATTTCAATTCATACAGAACGCTGACCAACCAGGTCGGTACAATTGCATCCGTTGAGTGGAAGAGCACTTAGTTTTACGTGAATAATTTCATTCCAGGACCTTTTTGACTGACCGCCAAGGACTCCCCGTGCAGATAAATAGTTGAACAACGCATCTGAAAGGATTTTTATCATCGCTTACAGCTTCAAACTTTGGTCCGTTGTGGGTACATGTTGGTCTATTGTTGAGAACTGGTGAGTCGAGTCCAACATGGCGTCGTTTAGTAAATTTAAAGCTTAGATTTCTGTTTAAGCAACTGAAGGATGTGATCCAAGTACTCCGGAGGTAGAAGAAGAATAATATGGAGTGTAAACGTACAGTGGATTAGCTTAAATGCTTGAGAAATGAACGATGTGTCGTTATACGCACTATTGTTCCGAAGGGACGTGTATCAGTCCGTGGAATGTTTGTCTCTTCAGAACTAAACTTTGGCTATGGTATATGGTGTTATTATGGGCGACAAGTGTGTTTGATCCTCATCCTCGTTACTCAAATGCATCAACGGTGGTCACGACCACTTATTATATTTCTGAGGGGCTGCCTAACGGATCTTTTGTCGGCAGCGTGTCACACTTCACTTTCGATTTTGTGTCTGTACTGGTGGGTAGTAAGTTTTCTACTGATTTGCGCGTTGACACAGTACAGAACATAATCACAACCGAAGCTGTTTTAGATCGTGAAAAGGTTCCAATTTACACCATCTCGTTACTCGATTCTTCCACTGGAGCTTCGTCTACTGTTTGGGTCAATGTAACCGATTTGAACGATAACAGTCCTTCCTTCTTACGCGCTGTTTACAATTTGGAATTTACCGAGGGCAGGAGTGTACTTCGAATTCTCAAGGCCACGGACAGAGATTTTGGCTCAAACTCCACGCAACAGTACTCAATTTTATCAGGAAATATTGGAGGTGTTTTTGTGTTAAAACTTTTCACCGATCGGTATGGAGCAACATGCGCAAATTTAGTTTTAGCGGCCGGAAAAGAACTTGATCGTGAAACGCGTGACTCGTATATGTTGAACATTTCAGCAAGCGATGGAGGCAACCCCCCTCGACGGGGCTTCACGCTGCTAAATATTACAGTAGGAGATGCGAATGATAACAGACCGATCTTTACAAACAGGTCATATTCAATCTACGTTAAAGAAAATTCACCTGTGGGCACTTCGATTGGTAAAGTTTTCGCTTCTGATGAGGATATTGGCGCGTTTGCTCAAGTCGTGTATTCGATCGATCGCAGTTCGCGCTCGGATCCTAATAGCGTCTTTAGTATTGATGCTAACACTGGTGTTTTGTATAATATTAGGTGGCTTGATTATGAAAGCGTTCGTGAGTACAAGATCTATGTTCAAGCAGAGAACGCTGGTGCTCCATTCATGAACGACGAAGTGCCAGTGTCAATTCATGTTCTGGACGAGAACGACAACAAACCTGATATTCGAATTGAATTTGCGATCAACGACTATTATCAAGTTTTGGAAAATGCTACCATTGGAACAACGGTGGCACGAATTTATGTTTCTGACAAGGATTCTGGTGTAAATGGAGAAGTTGATGTAGAAATAGAAGCAGGAAATGGCCATTTTAGTTTAAGATCAGACCCAGCTAATAATGTTGATATTATCGCTGTGGCAAAGGAACTGGACCGGGAAACACAGTCATCATACAAAGTGAGAATTTTTGCCAAAGACCGCGGGCAACCCCAGCAAGTTTCACAAGATGGCTTTATAGCAAATGTTGGAGATGTTAATGATAATTCACCCAAATTTGATCAAGCTGTATTCACCGCTGTTGTGTCTGAAAATGCCACCATTGGCACCACTGCTGTTGTTGCCCATGCCACTGATAGAGATGCTGGCTTAAACGCCAAGTTAACCTATAACATGACTTACCCGCTAGAGGATTCTCTATACTTTACGTGGTTCCAAATTAATTCATCAACTGGTGAAATAAAAACAATGGCATTGTTAGATCGTGAGAAAGTTTCAAGGCCCGTGCTTCATGTCACGGTGACTGATTCTGGTGTTCCGTCATTAAGTGGTAACTGTACAGTGTTCATTAACATAAGTGATACTAATGATAATGATCCAGAGTTTACCAAGCCCGTATACCTTGCTTCTGTCGATGAAAATACAGCCAATGGCACACTAGTCATTCAAGTTTCAGCAAAAGACATTGATAGTGGTTTAAATGGAGTTGTGCAATATTCCTTAGAAGATTTCCAAAAGGAATTCCCATTTGCAATAAATCCTAGTACTGGAGTTGTAACAACATCTGGTCCTATTGACTACGAACTTCATTCCTCATACCATGTGAGAGTACTAGCAACAGATGGTGGAGGCCGTGTTTCAAGGTCTGATCTGAATGTCTCTGTCGTAGATGTAAATGACAACTATCCAATAATCAGTCCAGCATCTTATAACGTCACAGTGTATGAAAACTTAACTGTCTCAGATACTGTGGTAAATGTCATGGCAAATGACTCTGACAGTGGTATTTTCTCGCGTTTAACCTTTGCTTTTTCCAGTGGGAATGGTAATGGCAACTTTTACATCAATTCATCCACTGGAGTAGTGACTCTTTTAAAACCACTTGATCGTGAAACAGAGGACTTTCATCAGTTTGAAGTAGAGGTTACTGATGGTGGTGGATTAAAATCCAAACATTCTGCCATTGTACGAGTGACAGTTTTAGATGTGAATGATGAGCCTCCTGTGTTTCAGCCCAGTTTTTACAACTTCACCATCATTGAAAATTCTGATGTTAATACAGTCTTGGGATCAGTCCATGCTTCAAGCAAAGACCTTGGAACAAATGCCGACATTTACTACTCAATCGTAGGTGGGAATGTGGACAATGTGTTCACAATCAACTCAACTGGTACAATTTTTACGCAGGGTAACATTGACCATGAAAAGACCCCCTACCTGTTGGTAACCATACAGGCCAAGGATGGTGGTTTCCCACCCCTGTTTGGGTTTGCAAACGTTAGTGTAACAGTCATTGATCTCAACGACAACAGCCCATCGTTTTCGAGCAATCAAATTGATGTCAATATTTTGGAAGATACCAGAGTGGGACAAGTGTTTTACAATGTGACTGCACAAGACTCTGATAGTGGAATATTTGGTCAAGTGCATTATACACTTCTTTTCAATCCCAATAATACATTCAAGTTGGATCCTTACAGTGGAGCCTTGTCTCTTACACATGCTATTGACTTTGAAGGACCCAGACAATACACAATCCAAGTCTTGGCAGAAGATGGGGGGTCCCCATCATTAAATGCAACTGCTACTTTCAAGTTAACTGTTGTTGATGTGAATGACCATCCTCCAAGATTTCCCAATTCATCTTATATTGCTCATGTAAGCGAGGGTGCAGGCGGTGTGACAGACATACTAAATGTTTTGGCGACAGATGCTGATACCGGTGATAATGCCAGGATTTCGTACAGTTTTCAAGCAGGTGTGGACACCAGCTTGTTTGGCATAAAATCTGATGGGACTATCTTCCGTAAAAAAGATCTAGATCGTGAACAGAATGCTGTGTATCAGTTCCGAGTTGTTGCCACTGACCAGGGAAATCCACCCAAAAGTTCTACAGCAGATGTTACAATTTATGTTGATGATATCAATGACAATGACCCTAGATTTACATTGCCATCTTACTTTTTTCAAGTCTCGGAGAACTCAAGCAACAGAACACGTGTTGGTCAGGTGTCAGCAACAGATAGTGATGCTGGAAGCAATGCCAAAATATCTTACACTTTTGAATTTTCAAGTCAGCAGTTTGTGATTGATCATGATACAGGAGTCATAAGAACCAACCAAGTCCTTGACAGGGAGACCCGCGCATCCTATGTCATGACAGTTGTGGCAAGTGACCAAGGAGTGAGTGCCAGAAGAGAGAAGACCAGTATCACAGTGCGTGTTGATGACCTCAATGACAACAAACCCACCTTCAGGAAACTTTCATATGAGAAAGCAGTGGCTGAAAATATCCCAGCCGGATCCTTTGTTATCAAGGTGAGGAAATATCCTTTCATAATTATCCATTAACTGATATCAAGATGTATGTTCTCTGTACATTTCCAGTGGTGCTAATGAGGGAATTAGTTTCAGTGATCATTTTCTTTTTTCTCAATACCATATGTTAGTTTAGACAGAATTATTAGTAGGAACAATTATTAGCTTGTCACTGGCACAACAGTACAGGTTAAACAAAAGTCAAAGCCCACAAAAAAATGTATCGTCCTTATTCTTCAGAATTATTCAAAACTTCAAAATTCAATCTTTGGAAAATGCAAAACAAGTATTATTAATGTTTAACGGCTGTCTTTGATATCAGATAAAAATGAGGCTTAATTATGTCCTCAGACGTTTGCGGCGAAAATCTCCAAAAGTCACGAAGTATTTTAAGCATGAAGACGGCGAAATAAAGCGTTTTTAAGCCATTTAATGGATTCGTAGTCAACCAAATCTAAATTCTTTGGTAGTGTCCCTTGTCTTGGAAGAGGAAATGAAAATGATCAAAATGAAAATCAAAATTACTTTGCTGGTCTAAACTTGTGGGAAATTTGAAACCGCAAAATATCCTTCGATCATTCTCTCCGTCACTTTAACTCTGGAGTACCTCCCCCTGGGCTCCGTCCCTAGTCTTGATGTGTCTTGACAAGTTGTATTACAACTGGCTTTGCAAATATCTTTAAACCTAGTTGTAGCTGTAGTGCGTGTTTTCTGGCTGATCACATTAGAATGCAGGGTCACGTTTTAAAGAGGCTGTCTGTGACACGGCTGTCTGGTTCACTTTGTTGATAGTACTAAAAACATGTCCTTATTGAAGTGTCAGCGAAAAGATTACTGACAAAATAATAGAATCACGGCTGCATGTCAACCAAATATGACTCCCAAGCATTTTATCAAACGTCAAAAAATCACCAAACCTTTATCAGGGTTCGTACAGGTCATGGAAAACCATTTTCCAGGCCTGGAAAGTCATGCCATGGAAAATTAAAGTTATGTTTGGTAGATTAGTTTAACTGCAGATGTCAAGCAAGGACGATGTACGATAGAGAGGAGTTATTAAACACCGCAAACGGCATCCATTTTGGTGGAGACAAAGTTTTTGTCTGTTGAACCGAGTTAGGTTAAAAAATAAGGAAAGTTTTGGAATTTTTGTCTATTGTTTATTTTTTTAGTTAAAAATATTTAATTGACGAAGTTTGCGTTAAGAGTAACAAAAAAACAACTCATCGAGGGGGCTCACAAAGTCGAAAGTGACAGAATTATACTTAGAATCACGGAAAACTTGGAAAGGTCATGGAAAAAGTCGTTGAAAGTCATTGGATCTGAACAGCTCAAAATAGTACAAACCTTGTTGGTAAAGAAGTCTTTGAGCATATGGAGACAGCCAAAAAAAGGGTTTTTAAGCTATTCATTGATTTTGTAGTTAGTCAAATGTGAACTATTTTGCTTGTTGTAGCCGGTTGTAATACAATTTCGTTAAAAGATATCAAGACCGGGGGTGGAGCCTAGAGGGAAAGGGGGAGGGGGGCGGTACTCCGGAATGAAAATGACGGAGATAATCGAAGGGCTTTTTGGGGGATTTCAAATTTTCCAGTTTGGAATTCTTTTGGGTAGGAAAATTTGGCAAATATTTTTGGGTACCTTGATTTAAGTAGTGGGTCTTTTAGGATTAAAAGCAAAAAAAAATACTTGCCAATTATGGCAAAATCTTAGCTTCATGTCAAACAAATATGTCTTCCAAGCATTTTAACAGTGAAACGTCATAGTAAACAACACTGAAAAATGAACTTTAAAAGAATGTAAGGCTAACAGGCTTTCATAAACCACACTTGCAATCCGTTTTAATCTTCTTTATTTATCTCCATCGGTGCTTGTTTTGTAGATGCCGTGTTATCCATGCCTTCTTTTAATGTTTTGATCTGTTTTTTTTTTTTTTTTTTTTCTCAATTTTTTGACAGTTCCCATCGTTCGAATTTCGTGACACAGTTCCGTTAAATTTCTCAAAATTTTTTTTCAGGTTTTCCCGGATGATCCAGATGAAGGTTCAAATGGTGACATCCAATATGACTAACAACACTGAAAAATGGATGTTAAAATAAGTTAAGGCTTTCTGTCTTTCATAAACCTCTCTTACAATCCTTTTTAAACTTATTTATTTAACACCAACAGTACTTTTTTTGTAAATGACGTGTTATCCATGCCTTCTTTTAATTTTTTGATCTTTTTTTTTTTTTTTTTGTTTTGCTCAATTTGATGACAGTTCCCATCGTTCGAATTTCGTGACACAGTTCCGTTAAATTTCTCAAAATATTATTGCAGGTTATCGCGGATGATCCAGATGAAGGTTCAAATGGTGACATCAGATATGACACAGCAAGTGGTCACATTCATTCGGACACCACCATGTTTAATGTGGATGCTCAAACAGGTGATATTACAACCGCAGCGAGGTTGGACCGCGAGAAAAAGGACCGATATACTCTGTATATCGTAGCAAAAGACCACGGATCCCCACCAAATGATAACATTGTTACGGTCATTATTCATGTGCTGGATGAGAATGACAACCCTCCGCGCTTCCTCAACAACAGTTTCTTTGTGAACGTCCAGGAGAAGCTTCCGGTTGGAACTGTCGTGACCAGTGTGACAGCTAAAGATATCGATGCAGGCAACAATGGTGAGGTGCGTTACACAATTGATCAAGGTAATAGTGGGTCAGTATTTCAAATCAACGCGACTTCCGGGGTTATCACCCTTCAAAAGCAGCTGGATTTTGAGCGAAAGAACAAGTATCTGTTGAGGGTTGTAGCCAGAGACCAAGGTCTAAACAGCCGCAGCAGCTTCCTGTTCGTGACTGTTTACGTGTTGGATTCCAATGACAACATGCCCACTTTTGATAAGAACCCGGTCACTGTATCCTTGTATGAAGGCGTTCCTAAGAACCACAATGTGACGCAAATCATAGCACACGATTACGATTCCGGTCAGAACAGCTGGATTCGGTATTCAATCGATTCTCAATCGCCAGGCACAAAATTCACAGTCGATTCATCGAGTGGTGTGGTCCAGACCATCGGAGAAATCAATCGTGAGTCGGTTGACGAGTACACATTAACCATCCGAGCGACTGATCAAGCTTTTACTGAATCCGAGCGTTTATCTAGTACTATAACGCTGTTTATCATTGTGTCAGACAGGAATGACAATAAGCCAGATTTTGTGTCACCAAATTTTACGTTCGTGATGGAAGACGAACCCTTCAGTTACCCCATAATTACCATTACCGCTATAGACCAAGATTCTGGTGAAAATGCACTAGTAAGATACAGAATAGAGCACGGAGACAACGGGGAGTTTGGCTTAGATCCTGTCACTGGTCTGTTAAAACTGAACCGCAGGCTGGACTATGAAAGCAAACCCAAGTACATCTTGAACATTTCTGCTACAGATCAAGGTACCCCAGCTCTTTCCTCCTATCAGCTGCTGACCATATATCTCGTGGACGTAAACGATAATGCGCCGCAGTTTAACCAGAGTCTGTACCTCGGTGACGTTAGGGAGAATGTACCAGTTGGTACTTCTGTGATGCAGATTAGCGCTTATGACGCAGACAGTGGTTCAAACGGCGCGTTAAGCTACAGCATCCCAAGGGGTGCAGTGAAGTCCAACTTCGCTATTGACGGAAATAGTGGTGTAATTTACACGAATTTTACGCTGGATCGCGAAGAAAAAGATGAATACTTCCTGACAGTGTATGCAACAGACAACGCGTTTCCTTTCCATGTGGCTACATGCACCGTGAAAATAACAGTGTTGGATGAGAATGATCACGCGCCTGCATTTAACCCCACGCGCTTGAATTTAACTGTGATGGAAAACCGCAGCCCGTACATGTTTCATGTCTTAGCGGCTCAAGATCCTGATGTGGGCCAAAATGGCCGCTTACGCTATGTTATAAAACGTGGCAACGAAGATGGAAAATTTAAGATTGATGGGTTTACTGGGGAGCTTTCTTCGACAGCTAGCCTTGACAGAGAAAGAAAAGCTCAGTATAATCTTGAGATCGAAGCAAGCGACCTTGCCTCGCCATTCCACAATTCCAGCGCTTTCGTGACAATTTTCGTCGGAGACGAGAATGACCAAACCCCAAGGTTCCTGAAATCATCTTATGAGGTTAGCATTCCGGAGCTTACACCTGTTAACACTGCTATTATCAACGTGACAGCTACCGATAGCGACTTGGGACTAAACGGACAAGTGGTGTATTCCCTAAGCAATAAAACGTTTGGTATCTTCAGGATAGATTCCAAAACTGGAGTGATCTACACTCTGCAGGAGTTTGACTTCTCGGTCAAGCAGGAGTACTTCTTTAACTGTTATGCAACGGACCAGGGCGTTGTACCGAGGCAAGCGTCAGTTGAAGTGAAGGTTTCTATCGTTGATGAGAACAACCACGCCCCTGTGTTTGAGATGCTACCCTATAAAAAAGTGGTGCAGTCTGTTTCACCAGGGGAGCTGCTCGTAAGAGTACGCGCCACAGACAGGGATTCTGCGTCTGTAACTCATCTGACCTACAGACTCATAAACAGTTCGTCGCAGCAGTATTTTGAACTGTCAAGCAACTCTGGAGAGCTGAGAGTCAAACAAGGCGTTTCAAACGTTCCAAACGGAGCTTATATTTTAAACATCCTCGCAGATGATGGTAACTTCACAGGAAGAGGGATTGTAGAGATTTTCGTCGGTCCAATCACGGGGGCCCAACCAAGGTTCCTAAACAGTACACCAGCGTACGTCTCCCTTGCCGAGAACAGCGCGAGGAATCACGAAGTAACACGAGTACTTGCTACCTCGACTGGGTCAGCTGCTATCGCTTATAGTATAGTCGACGGTAACGCGGGTAACGCCTTTTATATTGATCCTCAAAGTGGTGTCGTGACAGTTGCTAATCCATCTCAACTCGACTTTGAAAGACTTCGCTCCATTCGCCTTCATATTATTGCGTCACTACCGTCGTCACGCAACGCCTACTTAACACTGTACGTGAACTTGACAGATGTAAATGACAACAAACCGGTATTTTATCCTGCCAATAAGTCTGTTCAACTCCAAGAGGATAATGCGTTACTGTCCAGCGGTTTTTTGCCAAGAACAGTTGCCACAGTGACGGCAACAGATAAGGATTCTGGGAACACCGAAAGAATGACTTATGAACTGACCGCCGGGAACGAAAACAACAAATTCAACATAAATTCACAAACAGGCGTGATATCTACTCAAGGCTTCATTAACCGTGAAGATCATTCTTCTTACGACTTAGTTGTCAAGGCAACTGATCGAGGAAGCCCACCTCAATCCAGTTTTAGTCACGTGGTTATAAATATCATCGACGTGAACGATAACATCCCAGCATTCACAGGGCCTTACACGGTGAACGTTAATGAAGATCTCAAAGTTGGATCTGTTGTGAAGCGAGTCATTGCAGTTGACAGGGATGAGAACCCAAACCTGGTTTATTCCTTCAGTGACGGTACGTTCAGTCAGAGTGTATTTAACATTGATGGTTTCACTGGAGATGTAACTCTGCGTAGATCACTCGATTACGAACTTACACGATACCATTTGTTGTACATCAATGTCACTGATGGAACCTATCAATCACAGACAACTTTAACGGTTGACGTTAATGACGTTAATGACAACGCTCCCAGTTTCCTGAACAGCTCCTATCACGCCACGTTATCTGAGGAAACCGCGGCCGGAACTTCAATCCTGCAAGTCAGCGCTGAAGATCGAGACAGCGGTACAAACGGTCAGCTGAGCTACGCATTCGTTTCTTTCGTTGACGATTTCAGGATCAACGCAACTTCCGGTGTTATCTACACGGCCAAAAAAATCGAAGTGAGCATGCGCGATTCTCTTCTCGTCATTGGTGTGTCTGCAACCGATCATGGGGTCCCCCCTCAGCGTGCCTTTGTCGCTATGCAGATTCGAATCAACCGAATACCGAAGTTCGCGGAGGCTGCGTACGAAGCAAGCATTCCCGAAAACACCGAACCTGGCACTTCAGTCCTTACGGTCAAAGCTGCTGAAGATGATTCGGGGATTAACGTAGCGAAGATCAGTTATTCTATTAAATATGGCAACTCTCAATCGCTCTTCCGAATCGGGCGCCGAAGTGGAATTATTGAAGTCAATAAGCAAGGCCTAGACTACGAAAAAATGAAGAGCCATTTGCTTGGCGTAGAAGCGAGAGACGACAGCACCAATAAAAGCGTTGTTGTGAGAGTTAATATTACAATCACAGATGTCAATGACAATTCACCAGTCTTTGATCCCGTCAAATACAAGACGGAAGTCAACGAAGATATATCGGTTGGCACGTCACTTCTCCGAGTGAATGCCTCGGACGAGGACTCGGGAACTAACGGACTATTGAGTTATTCTATCGTGTCAGGAAATGATAAGCAGTCTTTTGACATTGACAGCACAAGCGGTGAAATCAGCACAATCAAGAGCTTGGATCATGAGAGTGCGAAGAAGCATCGGCTATCAGTACAAGCCGAAGATCAAGGTCAGATACTATTTTAGTTGTCGCAGTTTTTCTCTTAATTTCGCGCCTTATTTTTTTAAGACGGAACAACCAAAGGCTTTACATCTTAAGAAAAATGCCACAATATTTGTTTTGGTACGGCTCAATTACCTCAGTTTTACATGGTCACACTTGAGGATCTCAACCACAGACATACTGATTTTTTTCGCTCGTCTCTCGGTTCCAACTCTACCCGGCGGTAAGCCTGTAATCTGTCTTTCGATTTTGGGCGTTGACGTTACTTTTCCTTTGTTATTTTTTCAGGTCTCAATCCAAAGGTTAGGCGTTCACTGGCATCTGTAACCATCATAGTAGTTGATCTCAACGACAACAAACCGGTGTTCAAAATTCCTCTCCCTGGGGAGGTAGCAGTGGAAGAGAACTCTCCCGTGGGTACCCCGTTCTATAAGGTCGTCGCTATAGATAAAGACTCAGCTAGCAATGGTAGAGTCATGTATAGCATCACAGGGGGGAGTGGATACGGGCTTTTTGTCATCGATCAGTCCAGCGGAATGCTTAGTACCAACGTTTCTTTTGACTACGAGGCCCGGTCGCTTTACGTCTTGGAAATTACTGCTGTAGATTTAGGAAACCCTCCCCTCTCGAACAAACTTAACTTGACAGTTCACGTGAAGAGTGTTGACGAGAAGGCACCCGTGTTTGCGAAAGCCAGTTATTCATTTTCTGCTATTCCCGGTAACGCGGAAATTGGACACCGCGTCGGCTTTGTCAATGCGACGGATGAAGACGGTGGAGAAGACGGCGTGATACGTTACAAGGTGGATTTCAGTAGTAAGAATGTCTTCGGAATCAATGAAATTTCTGGGGAGATCTTTGTGAACGATTCCCTTAAAGGAGATGGTAATAATGATAATAAGCGCCGCCGAAGAAGTATCGAGGAAAGTAAAGAACAGCACTCAACTCGGAGAGTCAGACGAGAGACTGGCGTGACACCTGTCACGCTACGGATACGAGCCGATAGCGGGAAATCTGATTCGAAATCCGACATTGCTTCGGTGTACGTGGACATCGATTTCTCATGTTCCGGATGTGGGACTACAAAGGAACAGTTTGAAGATAACGGAACGTCCGAAAGGATTATTATCATTGTCTTAGCTGTCGTAGCTGGAGTTATTTTAATCGCTTTTATCATTTTTATAGCAGCTCTCTTCACGCGGAAGAAGAAAAAGAGGAGAAATCGTCAGAATGGTCGCTTGGGGTTCGATGGTTCGTTTGATGAGATCACTGTGCACCCGTCGCCTCCGAACGGAAACATCAACCACGTGGACTCTTCACTTGAAAACGTCTCTACTCCGCGCGGTTACTCTCAAGAATGCTCCCCATTAAACGGTCCCAGCGACTCTCCTGCGCGCGGAACGGAGTCTTCGGACACTCCGAACAGCGCGTCAAGTGGCCGAGGGTCTTCCGAAGGTGTAGATTTCGAGGTCGATCATCCGCCAATACTTGTGAACGGAGATATAGGAAGCCTTCACTCGGAGAATTACGTTAAAACCGTGATGGGACCTGATTCTGGCATTCAGCAAGATTCTGATCAAGTTTCTCAACTTACGATCAGCGATGGAAGTAGTATGACACAGGGAGAAGGTCTCGCAATTGATAAGCAGAGCGATAAAATCGACAGAAGAATATTCGCTCGGATTGTAAGTCAAGAAAGTCTTCACGTGTTTGGTGAAGAGGGAGGTGGAGAAGCCGATGGTGGAGTTGATGTCGGTAACTTGTTGTACGCGAAGCTTTCCGAAGTTGACGCTGACGAAGATGAATCGATTATCGATGGTATGCAGCCGTACATTGACGAAGGTCACGATCATCCTTCTTACGGAGGTTCGTTAAGTTCGATCGTAGGAAGTCGTGAGGAACTAACCGGAAGTTACAACTGGGATTACTTGTTGGACTGGGGCCCTCAGTTCCAGCCGTTAGCTGACGTTTTCTTAGAAATCGGCAAAATGAAAGACGATAATCCTCCCAAGAAAACGATGAGTTTGAGTTTACCTTCAAGCCGTGATTCGCGGAATCCTCCCACTGGAATGTTAACAACAGATATGCTATCTTCAGTGTCCTCCTTACCTCGCTCACCCATCAGTCCTCCTTCCACCCGCTACTCATCTCCTGCTTTTTCTCCCAACTTTACTCCCGCCATTACACCGTTAGTGACTCGTTCTCCGTCAGTTTCTCCCCTGGACACGGGAACTCCTTCTCCAGCGGGGACCACGCCCAAATCAGGATCCAGGCCATCTTCAATGCATGTGTTGCAACTAAGAAGAGACTCGCACGATGGATCGAATTCAGACTTAACTCATTCGCCGTCAATATCAGACAATGAATCGAATCTAGAGGTCGACGTATAGTGGACTACATTTTACTATCAAACCGTAGTCTTAAGGCTTATTAAAGACAAGTTCCCTTTTCTCTCAGTGAGGTTATTCTCCATGAGCTTTTTGCGATACTTCTTACGTAACTATCCTGAAAAGAAAAGAGGACTTATTAACATCCTACATGGACTGCTTGCACCTCCTTTTCTCTCTAGAGTCCCGGCCTTTCTGTTCTTTTTAATTAGATCATTCGTTCTAAAGTAGAACTACCGCTTATGGACACTTCCTGCAAGCGGACATGTAGTGATTGTGGCAGCGACATGAAAACCCTTTGCATTTTATAAATTTCCTTCAACTCCGTTCCCAGGCTCTGTCTCCTTGTGCTGGAGAGCCCGGGAACGAGGTTGACTTTTCCTCAGCGGGCACCTCTGCTGAGCGAACAATTTTTCTCGTCTCAGTGCAGTGGTGGTCGCGTATGGAAATTTCAACTGTAATTTCTAAGAAATGACTGAAAAGAATGCTGTCAACATTCTAAATTTTACACAGGCTTAAACTTGTGTCTTTGTTAAGGTTTCACTCATGGAAATTTGAAGTCGCTAAGCATGAAAAAATTTTCTTTTTGAGGCGTTTTTACAAAGCTAAGTCTTACTAAAGTTTTGAACACGTTTTGGTTTAAAGGGGTGTGAGTCATAATCGAGCTTTTATACGAATGCATAATTCAGTTTAATATAAAGATGGCGCAGTAATTCAACTGACTAGAAACTATCGTTGCGTAGATAGGAAATTTAGACGAAAATATCGAAAGAATTATTGTGTTAAGAGTTTACAAAGCGTTTGTTTTATTGTACATATTACTACATACAGATATTTTTTCTATTTTTGTACATAAGGCTGTGGAAAGCAATAAAAAGTTTTAGCGCGGTTTTAAGATTCAGTTTCTCAAGAATGGAAACCATGTAAGGAAAGGAATCAAATTATAACTTGCTTTTTAGTTTTCATTTTATTTACTTGATGGAGACTCGAAATAGTGAAAAAATATGTAACCGCGCTAAAGGCAGCGTTTTATAGCTTGTAAAATGATAAGATTTTACTCAATAATATAAACCGTTTTTGTAATAAGACAGTTGTTTTCTCTTCTTGTTTTGTAATCAGTGAACTAACGCAACAGGACGGGAGAGGAAAGAAGACGGCAAAACTTGTGTGACAAGCGTGACATTGATTTCATTTGAAGAAACCTTTCACCAAACCTCACCCTTCTTTAAACAGATATTTTTCGTAAAAGACCAGAAAACGACAAAACACGCAAAAAATAGTTTCGTTTCGTTTTGACGTCTTCTTCTTTCTGCCAAATCGGGGATCATATCGGGGTCGACGGAAAGAGAAATGGGGATCATTTCGGGGCGAAATAAACCTGCAGAAGGTAAAGTAACTAAGATTGCTTTCCTGTGTGGATTTCTTACTTAACCATAAAAAGAACGCCTGTTCGCAATTTACCATCTTCATATTCTCTATACGTCCTTCTAACCAACAAATTTTATTAAAAATGCTATCTATTAATTCAGGTTCAAGTGCATAGAGAGGGGACCTCGTAAAATACTAGCTAAACTCCTTTAATAGCTTCATGCTCTGGTCTTGAAGAATACTCAGCTAATACTTGGAGTAACTGAGTCATGTACAACAACTCATTGGTCTTCATAATGATCAAAGAAATCAAATTAAAAAGGAATAGTTTGGGTTCTAGGTTAAAGGGACGAAATAGTGATTGTACTCCTGTCCGCCTCAGTGAAATGTAACTGTGGCAGTCCTTCTTCACACTCTCCCTCCGTGTCGACCCTTTCGAAACGGACTTACGCAAAAATATCAGGCACGATTATATTTCATAACTCGGTAAATACACCATATTTATGGGCGCGATCCATTCAACCAAAATTCAGACCGGTCCGACCGGGAAAAGTGGTCCACCTCAAAGGGTGGACCAATTTTTTCGAAACTTTTCCGGTTGGACTGAACCGATCCATTGAGTTTTGGACCGAAATTTCCGAAAATTTTGGTTGAATGGATCGCGCCTTATAGGTTCTCTGTCAAAGAAGGGCGAAGTGCATCAACGTGACATTTTAACGCGCGCCGGGCGCGCAACACGCGTGGATTGTCTGGCTAGGTTACAAAGCTACTGGTTTTGCCGCCATATTTGATTTGTTTCTGAGCATGGTTTGCTGTTTCCTTTAGCTTTACGGGCTTGAGTGTGAGGAAGGCACTCTATTGATTCTGTTTCTACTCATTCCTAAAGGTAGGAAAACCAGTTTTCTATCAGAGATCTCTTTGAACTTTTAGTGTCAGCGTATGTTGTTCAAATTTGTCATCTGTCTAACGCTTAACCTTACGAGAGTGGATTGATATCAACAAAAATCTGTAGATACCGAGGCACAGATTACGTGCAACAAAAGGAACAATACAACCAAACAACAAAGCTCCTAAGAGAACTCTGTTGTTTGGTTCGTTTGATTCTTTCGTAAATGACGGTACCTGCAGAAAGACCCAAAAATCTGCACGGTGGAAATCTTTACCGACTTTGTGCAGGGCTGTCAATCCCTACGTCATCAAATATTGAGAATTGGTAGGGGAGAAATGATAGATGACGTCATACCGCACGACAAATTTTATTCCTTTGTGCAAAAAATGTTCGTTGATTCTGATCGACATATATAGCACAGAAACAGTTCATATTTAGCCATATTGCTTAAATGACAGTGGCATACCAGAATTTATGGGGAAACGTTCCATGTTAATGGTAGCTCAAACAACACAAAATATTAGAAATTTTATGGTCAGAAAGAGTCTACAAGAAATAGCAACTTTAGCAATTATCCGGGAGGTATCAGACTCCAGTCTGGATACCAGGAGATACAGTCCAAAATCTGGAGTCTTCCGGAACATCCGGGAGAGTTGACAGCCCTGTTTGTGCATATGCCTCGACCCTTTTGTCAGCATAGGAAAAGTATCATAAATTTATTTTCTAACATTTTTGCCATAAGACTTTAGTTTAACTATTAAGCTTAAATAATCACTGGCTTGCTCCACAAAATCAAATTCACCTAATATTCAAAACGTCCCCAAATCAGTCCTGAAGTGTCACTCAGACCAGTAACCAGATGCTTACTGCATTTTTAGTTATTGTTAATATGAACTTAATTTGAAATTTTAGGATGAATGGCTTATCTCCTGAAACATCTGAAAAACCCTACCCCTCCTCCCCTGATCAAAACCTTTTCACCCCACCCCACTCTGGTCAAGATGCAGCCAGAGAGATTTCTAGCTCGGAGAGGCAACAGTATAACAAGGCATTGAAAGCCATGTATGAAATTGTTCGGTTGGGATCAAAACGTTTGGAGAAACCTGTGACTGATGGTGACCATGATGATGATGATGATGATGATGATGATGACATGATTCCAGAAACAGTGACAGAAACATCTGAAACTGAAGAAGACCTAAGTGGTTTGTTATTTTATTTTTATTCACTTGCTATTTTGATTGGCCTTAAATACTTAATTCTATTTAATGCACCTTTTGATTATGTGTAGAAGAAATCTATCGTAAATAATGGAGCTTAGCGTGAATACCCGTTAAGCTCATTGGTTAAATCGCCTGACTTGACAGTCCAAGTTAGCTGTCTGACTGTCTTAAGTTCTTAATGCAGAAAATGCCACATCTTTGTGGAAAATTTTCTTTTGTAGAAACGTGAATAGTTATCATGGCACTATGTCTTTTTAGAAGCAAGGAGTGCCGTTATTTTGGGGCAATATGATAATTTAAAACTCCTTATGACTCTAAAATTGTATGTTATCGTACTTATTATTTTGAATTGTGCATTACAGAAACCTTTTGTTTCTTGATTTGTAGGAGGAGGTAATCGATATTCCGATCATGTGACCCTTGCAAATTCCCATACAAAAAAGAAACTGACCTCCAAAATGTACGAAAAGCAGGTGAGAATAGATATCTCTATAATAAAAGGAATGATCCTTACCTTTGTCTTTTGAAATTTCAATCTTAACCCTTTAAACCCTAACATCAAAATTCAAATTCTCATTTGTTATCCCTATACGTTTTCAATAGAAGTAGTGGGGAGAATTTGTTGAAGTATCAATTAGATTCATCTTGTGTGATCATGGCCTTAATTCTCATGACCCCTGTGTTTTACAAAGCAGTGATATTACATGGAGAAATTTGACGCTGATCACTCTTAGGGCTTGAAGGGTTAAATTATCATACAGCGAATAATTTTCTTGGGCTCTCGCTTTATTGATGTGAGACCAGTCTTTCCAGGTATAAAATCTGATCACCAGACAATAGTGTACTGAAAAACACAATGCATTTCAAAATAAAACTTAAGGCTGCTTCTTTTGTCTTTATTTGAATTTGTGGCATTTTTGATGGCTGCACATGGGAGAAATAATTGTATTTTTGGAATCTTCTACAATGTTTGTGTATATTTTGCAAACTAAGGTTCAACATCAGCTAGATGCGGATAATGTGAAGCGAATCCACACAGAACTGATGAAGATAAATGCTATGTTGCAGGTCAGACAACTGATTTTTTGACATTATTCTTGGTGGAGTAATCTTTCCAAGTCTGTCCTAGTCTTAAGTCACTTACATTGTTGTTTTTCTGCAGAGGGAAAGTGAAACTCTTCACAAACGAGAAGTTCAACTTCGTGAACGAGAGAAAGCTCTGCGAGATGCTGAGAAGCTCAGTCACACAACTGATATCATTATTGATAGAGTAGTGACGCAAGAAGTAGACAATCGCTGCCAAGCTATTGTAGAGGTGAAAAATTTGGCTTTCTAGTTTTTTTGTATCAGTAAAAAGTACATTGTTGATGTCTAAGATTTAAGGTACAATGAGGGATAAAAGTGTTGAGACACGTCTATAAAATGGTCCCTTTTTGCTTAATGGACATATCTATCCCCTCCCCTGTGTATCCCCATCCTTTTCCCCAAAATCAATGTTGCATTTTAGACCCTCAATAGAGTACTAAAGTGTGACATAATAACAATAATTTATTGTTATATTTCTGAAATAAATGGGATTTGTCAGGGTATTCTGAAAGAACAAAGTCCAAGAGGCCTACTTGCCAAAAATGAGCATTTGGGGGCAAATTGTCTCTGAGATATTATCCCAGTTATGCTAAGAAAACTCCATACAGACCCACCCTTCTAAATGTTTTGGGGTCGACCCAAAAAAAGTTTGCCCCAAAATCCTCATTTTTGGCAAGTAAGCCTCTTGGACTTTGTTCTTTCAGAATATCATGACAAATCCCCTAATTTCAGAAATTTAATTTTTTATGACATCATCACTTTAGTACTCTATTCTTTATTTTACTACAAACAACATTGATTCGGGGGTGGGGGGATTCATGGTGTTTAAACAGAATGAAATAATAAGTGAATGAAATTGTTGTAAAGATATAAATTGTAGTTTTAAATGATTTCCTGTTAGTTGTGCCAGTGATATGATTTTCCACATCTCTCATTATATATCTTAACAGAAATATGAAAACAAACTTGTAGAACTGGAAGATGTAATCAACAAGAAAGCAAGAGAAACCAAGCGCTTGAGGGATTCATTTGACACAATAAAGACTGCAAACGACTCCCTGAAAAAGCAGGTGACATTTTTAGCCAGTATCAACAGTTTTTTTGGCAATTAGCAAAGTTGTTGTTTATTGAATTTTCTTAATATTATATTACAACTTCCTAGATCACTGATTTAGAGCAACAAAATAGAAGACTGGAGACACAGGCTCTGAGTGTACAAAGCAGACTTGCGAACTTACAGGTTAGGTGGTGATGGTGATGATGATGATAATGAAGAAAATGTTGTTCCAGATTAAGGCAATGATGATGATGATTATGATAATGGAGACAATGGTAATCCTAGTTTACATTCATGAAGATGGAAGGTTCCAATGTCTGTGGCGGCATTACTACATAACTGACCTCTAACAGAACCCAGTGGGCCCTGGCACCTAACTTTTGCTCCCGGGCAACTAGAAAATCTCAGGGGGTTTTTTTCAGAGAAAGCATATGCTGGGCACCCTGGATTTCACAGATTTCAATTTTTCTTAGAGTTCAGTCTTGGAATGGAAATCTGAAAATACCATTGTTCCACTGTTACTTGATAGGATGCCTTTACATGCTTCTGAAGGTGACTAGTTTCTGGACCATTAAGTATCCACATTATTCAACACATTATTTATAAATAAATGTGTCAATTGCAGTAGGTCTTGAATTTCCTGCTAACTCAATACTTTCCATTTCCTCATAGCCTAATCATTCATCCTTTTCTTTTTTTTGATCAGAGAAAGAATGAGATTTTACAAAGAAACACTAAACCAGATGATAAGCAGCTTGAAAAATCTCGAAACATCAAGCTCATGTCACAGGGAATGGAAGGAACTGGTATGTTGTCTCTAGCTTAAAGAATTCTTTTTGACAAAAAGCTGGTATCATGCCCAAAGTTGCCGTGCTCATCACTGATGATCACCCGTAGCTTCAGGCCCTTCATATTCACACTCCTCGTTGACAAAGTTGTACATTCATGTAGGGGGATTGTCATCTTCCCTCTCACAGCTTTGATCCACCAGAACATAGCAGTCTTGCTATGTAACTGGCTGTTTGTTGTTCACTGCCCAGGTGTAAAGTGGATCTTTTGTGGTTGTTTCCTTTGAAGGAGGAATAATATCATTCATTCAGTAATAATAATAATAATGATAATAACAATAATAATAATAATGGAATTTATATAGCACTTATACATCGCTGTTCTAAGCGCTTTACAATGTAAAAAAGGACATAAGAATATCATTAAGCACAAGCTTACATATAACCCTACTATACAGTAAAACAACAGTAAAACAAAATTAGAGCTTGGCTGTAGGTTTATGGGACTACCATTCTTTATCATCGCTGTTCAAGAAAGCTTTAGTTATCAAGCAATCGTACATCTTTTTTTATTATTTTCCTTTGGAAATTCTTCCTTTTTCCCTTCTTTTACTTTTTTATTTCAGATATATCAGCCAAGTCAGTGTCTTTCTCTCAAAACAAGGTACATATCTGTAGAAAAATAAATAAATACATAAAAATACCCTTTCAATAGATACAAAAATAACTAAATGAATAAGTAAATAAATAAATAGGTCAATAGATAGATGAATCTTGTACCGATTTATGTTAACATTCCAATGATGTTTCCAGGTGAATTTTTCCGGTTTGTTTGAAGTTCTGTCAGTGTTACTGGAATGGACATCAGAGTCACATCTGCAGAGGGTGCCGACATTTCAGGACTCTCCTCAGGGAAGGCTACAAGAACAACAGTTGGACTTCCCATCGGCTTTTGTGCATGAAAAGTGTTTAAAAGTACGTCTTGACAAGCAGAAAGTGTATGTGCATGCTTTGAATTAAATTTAATTTGATTTTTGCCATGCATGCTTAGTAATAGTATTATATTTTTGCAGTAAATGTAATAGAAAGCCAGGATAGATCTGATATTAATCAAAGAAACTGTCTCAACCCTGAACTTTTGGTAATTTGTCTTGAAGGGTAGTTGAGGTCTGTGAAAGTTTGGGTTCAGGAAAACAGCATAACAGTAAACAAACTCTCAGGGAAGATAAAGTTCTATAACAATGGTTTACATAGTGTTTTGCATAGCTAGTGAGCTCCAACATGAATTCTGCTCAATAATGACTGAGCAGAAGTGCTTAGTATGGTGTTGTTTACTTTGTCTTTGTTGGCAGATTTTACCAGGAATGTCAGACATATTGAGTTACGTACCAAGCATGAATCCTCGTGTACAACAGCCTTGTTTGCAGTTCACTTACTGGAGTGTTGTGTTTATGGAACAGACAGTACAAGGTTCACAGGTGATGCTAACTGCAAGTATAATAAATAGAGGATATTTCTCCAAGTGGCCGTGTAATGTTCTATTTATTATATAAACACCAATGAATACCAAACCATTTCACTTTAATAGTTTTTTGGTGTGAAAGGCGCGATTTATTATGTAGCCACAGCAACGGTGATATTTTCACATGTGAAGATAACATGTTATTTTCACATGTGAAGATATCAAGTTTTCACGCGAAAGCTCACCTGGTATTTCTTTGGTGTTTATGTAATAAAACAGATTTCTCTGTTTTTATTTTTCTCCTTGACCACCCTTTGGAGAAAAGTAGAGAATTTGTTACAACACTGGATTCTTGATGCAACCTGTAACTTTATACCTTAGTCTATTTCCCTGAAAGACTTGCTTTCCACCGAGATTCATGTTGTTCTTAGAACAAAAAAAAATCGAAACGTTTGACTATGTATTTTTTTACTTTTTGCCTTTTTTTTCAAGATGACCACGCCAAGAAGTGTCAGCAACGAGGTTGTGGATTGAATTATATTTTTTTCTCTCTTGTTAGAGAACTGCTTTAGCTTCCACATTACGTCATATTGGCGAAGAACTCTACAGACCTCAGGTAATGTCATTCTCTGCAATGATTCCTACTAGATTCCATATAATCTTTAACAGTCTGCGACACTATCGGAAGCTGCCAGCCTCGGACGTATTTAGACGATTCCAGACACCACAGACAAATGTGCTCCTCTGTTTTTTTCAGTTTTGGCGATGTTTTTTCGGATTGGCGGAACTAGGGAAGAGGCTTGGGTGGTTCGGGTCCCATAATCCCCTAGTGTTGTTGTCTGTATCCTTGAATACTTTGCAAAATCTCTCAATAAACTTTGAACTTTGAACTTCGATCAGGCCAAACTGAAGCCCTCGGGGCCGGAAAAAATTTTTGCGAGGCCGAGACTCTCCTTTTTCTTAGGGTCTGGATGAGAGGCTTCCTCCCACCACCCCTACCTCCCCCCACCTCCTTGTTGATCTGAATCCGCCACCATTTTGACTCAATTTCGGTGCGAAAACTGGTGCCTAGCGACGTAACACACACCTGTTGCTGATCGTACTGCTTTTCAGGTAACCAAGGTTGCAGAGGAAGGAGCTACTCCCAAAGGCGAAAGGCACAAAGCTGATATTTATTTCCACAGTCCAAACATTGCTGTCAGAATTCTATCATCTCTCATCATTCTCAAGACTCTTTCTCGAGGTCAGAACTACTACAAAATCGTAGTTGCAGTAAAATAATGTCGTCATAAAGTTGAGCTTTAGGAAGCGCGGGAAAAGAAGCAGCTGAAAATGTGCAACCAGTGCCGAGGGCGGGAAAACACGTGGTACCTTTGTCAAGCGCGAGAAAACAAGTGGAACCCTTGCAAAGCGCGGGAAAAAGACAGGGTTGGTGTTTATTATTAGAAGGTTTGCAACGGCTATAAAGCGCGGGAAAACTTGTAGCCGATGAAGTGATTGCGACCAAGTGCGCAACGCTGCGACCTGTCCCTGGCGCGTTGCGTAGCAGCGACGTTCCTCTAGTGTGGCCAACCGTACAGTAACCTCAACACGTTTCAAACAAGCTTGCCTCTTTCTTAATAACAGCACATCAGCTCAACGACTCATCTTGTGACATATGTCTACGTTCTTAAAGCGACGCTCAGTGATAGTATGGTTTTGAATCTTGTTTCGTGTTGTGTTGTTTTGTAGTTGATTACTTGGCTCAGGTGTTCGATGTCCTGAAGACTGATTTGAAGGATGATGTGGTTAGTGTTATCTCTTGCTGTTCTGATCTGAGGTAGTTTCTAGGAATTTTCTAATCCACTATCTAGTAGAACAGTCCTTCCCTTTTTAATTTGAATTCTTTTGCTGTTGACGATTTGGACAGAAAAAATCTTCGATGGGTGAAGTTGACAATTTACCGTTCGTTTTTTCATGTTAAAAAGCATAGTTTATCTACTGTGGAGGACTAGCCCTAATTTCTACTCAGCGAAAAATTTGCCTGAAGTTTGAGTTCTTTTTAAAAATTAAATTTGGCTTCGACGTTTTACTACAGACTACAGTAGCCCTTCTCATTATATGGGATATCCTAAGGGTTAAATGTTAGTTAAACGATCACAGTAGTAATTTTTTTATTTTATTTTATATCTTTACTGAAGAAAGGTTTTTTTTATAACAGGGCAAACAAATTTTTCTGACCTATGAGGGTGTAAACGTGGTGTTGTCTTACATGAAGCCTGTTCAGAAGGTACGTTGACTGGAATTTTCTGCAGTACTAAGTATATTGTTGCCTAGGGCCGAGAGAAGTTGGCAGGGAGGTCCAAATTACATTCCCATCCCTTGAAACTCCCGCCTGTCCCGTCCCGTGCTGACGAAACGGCTGATAAGGGAGTAAGATGATTTAAACATAATAATGGAGGAGACTAGACGGGGTTGTCCTTTTAGCCAGTTAAGTTCATAGCCAACCAGATTGTGTTCTTTCCCTACCAGGCTCTTCTCAGTAGCGCTGTGGATGTAATGTTGCTGATGTCTGTTGATTCACGTACGTAATATTCTGTTGTTGTTTTTTTTTTCGGTGAAACTGCAAATGAACTCAAGTTCACAAGATTGTCTATTACTCGCTTTACTACGTTTTTCCTACTAAATGCGGAGCGTTTTGTCAAATCTGGTTGTTTTATCTTTTTTCAGCTTTCACTGCGGCGTTTCTTGACAGTTGCTCAAATGAGCTGTGGTTCAGGACGGCCGTGAATCTGCTTCAGCATAAAGGACTGGACCCTAAAATACTGGAAAAGCTAAGCATTGTTTTACAGAGACTTTCCAAAATCAAGTAAGTACATGTATAACGACGACTCCAATATGTTACAAATCAGGTCGGTGGTGTGATGATCATTTTACCGGTGGAAACAGTATAATTAGTAATCATCCATGATAGAAAAGTACTCGGCTCTACTTATGATCGCTTTTGTGTTATTGGGCACTTTTCTCGAAAGTCCTGATAACTTTTCGGGTCGGGAACGTTGTTTTACTCGCCAAGATTTTACGCCGAAATGCTGTGTAGGTTTGAGCTCGCAAATCAGACAAACTTGCAATACCATGACATTGCAAAGACTCCATAGTAAATTCTGGGACATTATTGATTGCATTATGCCTTCCTTCACAGTCGGCAAATAAGCATGAGTTCCAATCAGGGTACGTCTTTTTTTTCTAACAGTAAACTAGACGTCGGATTGATTTGCTCGTAGACCGGTTCTTGGAAAAACGCTATGATCCTTGTCTTGTCAAGTATCACGTCTATGGAAACAAAGTGAAAATGCACAACCTAAAGTTCAGTTAAAAAGGCCATGTTATTTTACTTTTGAAGAAAGTTTACTGGGTGTTCAAAATAACGTTGCGATAACAACCAAAAAAAGTTTTTTGTCATGGTCTAATCATCAGTCTCCGGACATGCAACTGTTCGCTTTTGTTTTTCTGAAGGAGAAGTAGCGCTTGAATCGGTGGCAAAGGCCAGGTCCTTTGGTCTCCGACCGGAATTGCCAAGAAAAGGTTAAAAGAATTTGTTTTAGATGTAGAATTTCTTACCTGATTTTTGTCGCTTAAACTCGCCAAAACGAAAGAGTTTCAGGTAAACCTTTTTTGTATTTGATTTGCAGATCCAATCGTCGATACTTTGAGGCTTTTCAGATCTCTCCTCTAGTACAAGAAATGTTACGGACTTGCGATCCACAAAATGCTTTTCTTGCTTTAAACCTTCGATCCATCATCTTTAACCTTGGCCAGGGGAAGACGTGACATACTATGCTGAAACAGTTTAGAGCGAATTCACCAACTTCATGCAGTCAGGATTAAGGGTCAGCGACGAGTGCCGATATGTCTCTAGACGTTTGATATGTCATGACAAGGGATACAGCGAAGAGGTAGTGGATCCGATGGACAAGAAAAACGAATGACTACAAGTACAAGGAAACTGGAGATGTTACCTCGTGCGCTTTTTTCGGTGGCAAAGCAAAATGTCGAGATACAGGATCCACACAGGTCAGATAACAGTTAAAACAGTTTATTTAAAACGTTTAACTGTCAGCATTAAAGCTTAATTCCAATTCTTTTCTATCGAGTTGGAACAAAAGACTTAGAGTAGAAAAAACTGTTTATAGATGTCTTCCATTTTCGGTTTTTAATTTCCCGCGAAAAGCCATTTTGAATTTTATGACGTCATTGGCTTGCATCGTTTTGTGAACTGTTACAGCGGGAAACAGCGGGAACCATCTAAGGACTTGAAAACTGACAATCTGTGGGGTGGTGGATTCCCATATGAGACGGGTGGGGAGCTCATTGTCTCCTTAAGGAGCGCATTACTCCTGGCGTCATCTAGAGTGTTCACGATGGAACGCTGAGAAATGTGCGTGAACAAATAAAAAACAAAGAAGCAAGGAATAACGATAAAGCATATGACAACGTCGTTTACTATAGCTTTTATTTGGCTGTAAAGTCGACAGCCTAATGAGAGAGACATTAATTTTGATTGCAGTTACGACGTCGTTCGTAAACGCTTTCTTGCTCCATCTTAAGTTCCTCTTGAAAGAGTGGCTACGGCCATAGTAGTCTCCTTTAGAAGTTTAATTCAAGTTTTCTGATCAGAATTCCTGCCCGGGATGACGGTACGTATGGCAACATTATACACAATATCTATAGCTATGTATAGCACTAAAGCTTTATTGCTTATACAGTATACGTCAATTTGTTGCAATAAGTCAACACTGGAGGTTTTCTTCGAAAGAAGAGCCCGTATGTTGAAGTTATTTTACGCTTTTCAGTTTAAAAAAAAAACTGTACTGCTAATACGTTACACTAAACGGATGGGATGTGAAATAGAAAAAAATGAAAGTTGCAAACAGTGTAAAAAAAGAAAAATCGTGTGATCAGCCTCTAAGGTATGCTAACAAGTTTTAGGGAGTTAAACGGAAAGAAATATAGTCTTATTAAAGAATATTTGTTATTCTGCTAATTTGTAGAGACTATAGAAATCAAATCTTTGCATTATTTATTCATTTTGCCTTGAGAATGGTGTCATGATGATACCGAAACGTCGGCTTTTAACGTTAATATTCGCTTGCTTATGTTTAAAGAATATTTGATAGAATAAAATTTCAAGCGTAGAAAAGTCAAATTGGCGACTAGTTTTACGTCCTGCTTTTCGGGTGTTCCTTTTTGCTATTTCGTTTTTCATGTTTTTAGCTAGTGACTAAAATCCTTTAACTCAGTCTCTTGAATTAAAAAGAAAATCGTGAGGAATCAGTTATGATGTTACCACCATACAACAACCCACCAAGCTATTTCCGTGGGATGCCTGTGGCATTCCCACGGTAAAAATCCGGTTCGTTTGTACCCAAAATTGCAAAGCCAGCCAATAGGATTGCCTAAAATCTTTATCGATTATCTCTTCTTCCAAGCCGACCAATCAGATTCTATCTCGTCACCACTGCCCCAGGGATCCCATGAGATTGCCTAGCGCATGCGCAACATCAGTGCCTTTTCGCGCGCGATATCAGTTTAGTCGTGGTTTCTCTCTCCGGGGAGAAAACGATTATATTTTGTACCCAAAATTGCAAAGCCAGCCAATAGGATTGCCTAAAATCTTTATCGATTATCTCTTCTTCCAAGCCGACCAATCAGATTGTACAAAATCTGTATCGATTTTTAATCGATTTGCTTCCTCTGAAGAACTTTGAATTGCCAAATTTGTCGCGCTTGAGTTTTCCCACTCGTGGTTTAGGATGGCTTGTTAACCAGCGAAAGCCTTCGGGTAACTGGCAAGTCACGAAAGGCGACCTAAGCCAAATTATTTATTTCGTTCATGATTCTTTTTTGTTTAGGTCAATGTTTAGGTCTAGATTTTTGTAGGGTTTTAGTAGCGTCTGGTTGCGGGCCGTGACTTACGATAGATTTTCTATTCGGAATTCGCCAGTTTTTGCCGAGCACAGCTAAAGTTCAGTTTTTTTCTTTTCATATCGAAAACACCTTGACGATGGGAGGTTAAATTGCGTAAATTTCAACTCGTACCGTTGACGATTGGCGGTAAAATCGCGAAAATATTTTCCTCGTCGATCGAAGACTCGCTTTCGGCATGGATTGGACTTCTGGATGGGACACGGATGAGGACCTTAGTAAACTTATTATACCTCGGAATCAGGGATAATCATTGGAACTATGTTAACTTTGAGACCTTGGAAACACGTTGCAATTAATTTTTAACCGTATCAAGAGCATCTTGGAATATTAAACTTTCATCTTGGATTAAAACATTGGAACTTTATCGAACTTTATAACCCTACGTACAACCCTGGATAAAGCAAGCGGATGTTTTGTTTTGTTTTGTTCCATTAACCTGTCTATTTCTCTTTGAAAAAGTTACCTGTGGCTTATAGTTCCTGTTCAGGTTAATCAGAGAGCATTAGAGAGCATTATGCGCGTGTTCTCCATTACTTGTTTCCGTTAAGATTCCAATTTAAGTTACACGGGTAAACCTTGTTTTGCGGCAAAATAACTTCTTTTTCTTATCCAAATCGTACTATGAAAATAACTACATAGCGATAGATCAAAACAAGATCAACTCCATCCCTGACAACTATAAATTTAGCTTGCGTGGGATAGGGAGGAAGCAAAAAGGGGATGTGGATTGGGGAGAAATAGTAGCCTGTCACGCAGGCTACTATAAATTCAGTCATAAGCACATTAAACCAACCCATACAGGTAACCTGCTAACCTCTTTCCGGTTTCCCTAATTTTTCCAAATTCAGATAGAACGCCATTATGCTTCCATAGACCAACGCATCCCACGGAAACGACTTTAGGCGTCTTGTTTTATTAACGTTCATTATAATTATAAGCAGCTTGACAAAAAAACTCCCTGTTTAGAGGCAGTTGTTATTCGTTACTCCCTCCGAAAATTGATAAGCTCGTCTTCTGATGCGTTTTTCTTTCTTAAAAGATAATCTGCATGGTTACTTTTTGTTCAATGTTTGATCTTGGTGTCCTGTGGTATGTTCAAACCTGCGCGGACTGGGTTCGTGGTCGACTCCGTGTTCTATGAAGGAAAAGTTTTGAAGTTGTTGTGTTATCTGGTCTTCCTCGGGGAAATTAAAAGAGTTTCGATGGCTACTTGTGATGACAACTGGCAGACAAAACGTCCCACCATCAGCGAGAGAACAAAATTCATTTTCAATAATGAACTGCTAAGCGACGTCAAGTTCGCAGCTCCTGCGTCGAATATAGAAAGTGAAAGCCGGAAGAGTCAGAAGAGCATTCCAGCCCATAAGTTTGTGCTTGCAATCAGCAGTCCTGTGTTCTATGCCATGTTTTATGGTGAAATGGCGGAGACTGCAAGCACTATTGAACTGCCTGACTGTGATTATGAGAGTCTGTTGGAGCTGTTTCGTTACTTGTACAGCGATGAAGTGAACCTAACCGGAAGTAACGTCATGCAGGTTCTCTACTTGGCAAGGAAATATCTGGTGCCCTCACTCGCTGGTAGGTGCACTGAATATCTTCGGGAACATCTAGAAGCGTCCAATGCGTTCTCCATTTTGCGGCATGCTCAGAAATTTGAGGATAAAGATTTGGAAGAACGATGCTGGAACGTAATTGAATTGCACACTGAAGAAGCTGTGACGTCGGATGATTTTGTGACGCTTGAGCGATCAATTTTCGAGTCTGTCGTGAAGAGGGAAAGATTGAATGTAAAAGAAGTGGATCTGTTCAAAGCTGTTGATCGCTGGGCCACTAAAGAAATGGAAAGGCAAGGGTTGACTCCTGATGGAGAGGGCAAAAGAAGGGTTCTTGGAGAGGAAATTGTGAATGCAATACGGTTTCCAGTGATGTCATACAACCAGTTTGCTTCTGTTGTCTTGGATTGCGATATTCTTACGAAAAGAGAGCTTGGTGTCATGATAAAACACTATGGCGATGCCAGTTTAAAGTGTCCTTTGCCTTTCATCCATTCCGTCAGATCTGGCTCGATCGTACATCGGTGCTACAGATTTAATACCTTACAAACCTCTTGGGGCTACGGTGGTAACGCTGATGCCCTTAGACTAACTACCAGCAAACCCATAGCGTTGCATGGAGTACAGCATTTTGGCAGTAAAGGTGGTAATTATACAGTGTCACTAGAAGTAAAAGATGCACTGAGTGGCCTCTCTCTGGTAAAACAAACAGGAACTTACTCCTCTGAGAAAGATGAGACAAACGGCTATTACGGATTTGATGTCATGTTTAGCCACCCGGTTTACCTTGAGCAAGATAAACGATATGGGGTTGTATCCCTTATCAGAGGCCCATCATCTTGCAGTGTTAAAACTGGAAAAACCGCTGTTGAGGTTCAAGGAGTGCAGTTTTCTTTCAGTCACTCAGCTGCTTTCACTAATGGAACTGGTGTGAATTCTGGCCAGTTTCCTACATTTCTTTTCAGCTTACGGTAGAGTTAATTTTTTCAATGAGACTGTTGATTACCTTAAGTGGTACAGAAAGTTCAGGGATTTCCTTTACCAGTTCCAGTCTTAGGCTCCTATTGTCAGTAATACCACAGCCTGTGATAAGCCCCGGGGGATTGTTAGCAACTCAGGGGACAACATGAGTGAAACA